GCCCGTTTGCTGACTTCCGGTGGGCCCAGAAGGCCCAAAAATCAGCTGGCCAGCGCATGTATGTGTGCTGGAGCTGAGCTAGGGCAATGCTCGCGTGCCCACCAATATGGCTCCATGTGCCACTTGTGGCACACGTGCCATAGGTTCACTAACACGGGACTAGAGGGACATGATTTAGGACTTCAGCCCTGTGATAGAAAGCGGCATAAAGTTACTCAAGATTGAATAGGGATCTGGAATAATTTGTGAAACATCACACCTGCTAGTTTTCTTTAGGATAGCAAGTGGTTTTTATACATCCCCCAATTTTACCAGAGGAAGTTGCCTAACTAGACAGTTAATTTTATATTTACAGACTTATCAGTTACTGAGAAAGAGTTATGACCATATGGCAGTAAGGAATATTTTAGGCTCCCTCTTACTGACACTTCAGGTGCTTTCAGTCACTTGCTCCCTAGGATTATCAAATTCATAGGGATCCAGAATCCAACTTGATTCTGATGGAGATTTACAATTAAGATACCATTATCTAACTTGAATGTTGTTGTTCTCTAAACAAACTTGGATAGAAATGGGAAAATATGCTCTATGAGCTGTACAAAAGTAAAAAAAATTCTCGGAAGTATATACCTAATTACGATGTACAGAATACAAATGCTAGGCTCTGTCAGTTGCACTTCTATGAGAGACATGTAAAATATATTCCAATTTAGTATAATTCAATCAAAAGAGGTCAAAATCGTTAAAAGATTTTAAATTATTTTCAGTTTGGGGATATGCTTCAATCTGGAGATACTTTTCAGACAATAGATAATTTCTCAGTCTTTTATGGGCAAGTCAAATCTTCAGTGCTATGGATATAAATTTCTGCATAGACCTGAATAATTGTCAGACATTAATTATCATGTCATTCTTTTTCTATGGAGTGATGCCTTAGGCCCCCTCAACAGTTGGAATATACTCTGCATGTAATAACATATCAACATATCAGACTTCTCGCATTCCTATTTTTTATGGATGGATAACTCAGAGAGCCTCCAGGTATATGCAGGTTCAGTGGCATTTTTAAAAAAAAATACTTTAGCCTTCTTGAGCAAATACAGTTTTTAAAAAATCCTATAAAACCAAACTGCTACCTCAGAAGGATTTTGTTCCTGATCCCCCCTTACTATTGGGGGGGGTGTCGCAGGATTCTTTCTTAACTCTACCATTTGGTAACTCAGAGATCTAATCCAGCATGGCAACATAAATTAGGAATGTTTGAATACTGCAATGTTCTGACACCCATTATCTCTGGCAAGACACAGTAGAGAACAATATTCATGATGATTTACCAAGCATGTCAAATATTTATGTGAACCCATGAAATAGACCTCTCAGACTCAGAGATCCATATGGCCACAAATTTATATGGCTTTGTTTGAAAGAGATCTATATACTTATTAAAACTCTTGGGTCTCATGGTTTGCAACCTTCTGTGGAGCAAAACAGTGCATTGGAGGGCAATAACTATATCATTTTTTTTTAATTGTCAAAGTCATGGCCACTTCAATGTTATTGAACACCGTGCGAACTCATGGTCACGTGATAGTCATTTCTAATGTTCCCTGCCAGCTTCCTACAAGGAAAGCCATTGGGGAAGCTGGCCGGAAGGTGGAAGTCCCTTCCCACTATTCTTTTGCTCACCCATATCCATTCTGTTTCTTTACTGGAATAAGAAAATATCTCTGAAATGATGACCCAATGGGTCATGGCTTTGTCCAGTTATAACTAAAAGCAAGACCTGCTCAGTGATGCTAGCTTTGGAATTTTCATTCTAAAGAATTTAAATTGTTGTCATGTTTCTTGTCCTCCTAGTACAACAAGAGGTCCGTCCCCGTCCCCTCCCCGTTTCCTCAGTCCTCAGATGTTTTGAATTGTGATTTTCCTTATTCTGTTGTTGTTATGTTTGAACTATTTGAATTAATTACATTTGCACAGCTTTGCATTTATATTGTGAGCTACCTTGAGACTGTCTGTACTGTAAAATTGGCTGTTCAAAAAGCAAATAAATAACTCAATGCTGAAGAGTATCCAGGATGAATTATTTGTGTAGTGTTGTTGTATGAATAAGCAGCTCATTCTGTGATAGAATAATTAGATCAGAAATTGGACTTCTGCCTTAGAGTGGGTAAGGACTATATTTAATTATGATGTTGTGTGTGACAAAATAATATTGCATTTCTGTTATTAATTTTGCTTGTTATTTTTTAAATCAAGCTGTCTGCTTAATTTCTAGGGTGAACATGGACAATCTCAATTCTGCTTGCCCCAACACCCTGAAATGCATTTCAAGTCTGATTTATATTACAATTTTAGACTGCTACAAGTCTAGAAGTGCCCAATATAACAGGCAACCTGTCACATACCATGAATTTTATTTAGGATGATGTCAAGTAGCACATACTTGACTCTAAAGCTTCTAAGAAATCTACTAACCAACTGGGGGGGAAACACCTGGGCAAAATGAAATAGTGTCTCATAGGTAATTGTGTTAGTTAATAATGTGATCAGCCTGCAGCTAAGAATTTGCTACTAAATAAATAGATATGCATGCACATACAATCGTAAGTAAGACCTAGACTTAGTAATGCTCAACAAATACACACACACACACACACTTTCTTGGCTTATACATTTTCAAACATTTTGTGGTATTGGAAGATTGCTCTATTCCACTATTTCTCAACTTCAGCAATTTTAAGTTGTATCAACTTCAACTTCAAAAAATCTACAGACAGCTTGCTGTAGGGAAATCTGGGAGTTGAAGTCCATACAACCTAAAGTTGCTAAGGTTTAGTAGCACTGCTTTGTACACTATGTATTATGATACTTTTTTTAAAAAAATTGAGGGACTCTGCACAGGGGTGGGTTCTAAAAATTTTTACTGCTGGTTCTGTGTGTGTGGCTTATTTTGTGGGTGTGGCTTGGTGGGGGGTAATGTTACTGGATGGGCGTGGCCAACTTTTTTCTTTTAAACTTTTAAAAGCATTTCTTCTACAACCTTAAGAGGTTGCAGAAAAAAATGCTTTCAGGAGCCTCTGATGATCAGGCAACTCAGCTGGGATCGCCAGAGGGTTTTAAAGGCATTTTTTTTTCTACAACCTCTTCAGCTAAAGAGGTTGCAGAAAAAAATCTTTCAGAAGCCTCTGACGATCCCAGCTGAGCTGCGCGATCATCAGAGGCTTTTTTTTTACTTTTAAAAGCATGTTTTCAGCCAAAGAGTTTGTAGAAAAAATGCTTTCAAAAGTTTAAAAAAAAGCCTCTGATGAGGTGGGCAGGGTAAGTGAGCGGTGACGGGGCTGGGAACCAGTCCGGGGGCGTGGCCAGCCAATGTTATTACCGGTTGTCTGAACTACTACAAATTTTTACTACCGGTTCATGTGAACCGGTGCGAACCGGGAGCAACCCACCACTGCTGTAAGTCTTTAAGAGGTAAAAAAAGAAAAATACATGATAACATGAATCAATATAGATCATGCCCATGCTTTCGAGGGTATTTTTGGCTGTATTATTCATCCAGCAATGTATGCATATCTTAGCTTGAAGTAAAAGCAATCAGTGATAAATATGAGTTGGCAGCTGAATACATAACATATTGGGATGGATGTAGTTGACTTCCTCCTTTCAGATGTCCTGAGCATCTCCCAGAACTCTAGCCAGCCATGCAGATGCCAATTGTGGAATTGTCCACCATATCAGAGGACCCCAATATGATTTTGCTTCATAAACTCATTGGTCTTCCACTGGTATTTATACAATTAAAGAAAATCCCAGATACACTATCACTTTAGAGTTCCCCTAACCTGCCGCCAGCATGATTGATGCTAATTTTATTTTCCTCCAAACTCCCCATTGTCTCCATCTTGTCTAGAGATAGCATAATGAGAATTGAAGTTCAACGCATCTGGAGACCCTACAATACATGTTTATTTATTTATTATACAAAAACAAACCTTCAGTTCAAGCTATTTCATTCCTCTATTTGATTCTTAATTTCCCTCCTCTACTCCAGTAGGAACTACTCCTTGCCTAAAAATTAGGAGGAACATGGTAGCAGTTTTTGCAGTTATGCATTGCATCCAATAAAGGGAGGTGTAGCCCACAAAAGCTTGTACTTTTCAATAAAATTTGATAGTCTGAAACAATGCTTCTGAGTTTTGGATACCATAGGCTAGGGGGTTTTAGCCTTGTGGCCCATAGGCACAAGTCTTGGTGGTCCATAGGCAGATTTTAGAGGGGGCGGTCTAGGAACTTAGATGGAAAAACAGAACAATCTTATTTTCATATACACTACTATAATACATTTTTGACAATAATTGGGATTCTTAGGTTTCATCAGATTCTCAAAGGGATCCATGGCACAAAAAGGTTAGCAACCTTGCCATAGCCTGAAATTCAACAGTTTTTATGTTTCTATTATTGTCCATATTGTTTTATTCCTGGACACCCAGAGTTTGGGTGGCTGTACAAATGAAATAAACAAACAAACAAACGAACGAACGAACGAACGAACGAACGAACGAACGAATGAATGAATGAATGAATGAGACTAGCATAGCTTTCTTGCTGTGTTTCTTACCTCAGGTGAACCATTAAAAGAAACTCGGGGGGGGGGGACCCTTCCCTCTTGAACTATTTTTCATAAAATATAGCTTCCTCTCTAACTTGATTATTGTGAAATATAGCTTCAGATGCACTCTGACATATTCTCATCTCTTGCATTGATAGAAGTGTGAATAAATGTGTCTGGAAGTGTGAATTTCAGAATGTTGGGGTGAGGAATCTAGATAATGGAGGAGTGGTCTGGGGGGGTTGTCCCACTCCCCTCTTCTTCTCCTCTTTCCCTTCCACAGTCCCACCCCTCTTCACTGTTCCAGACGAGGGATATTAGCTGCTAAATTAGCAAAGCAACTACATCAGACAGAAGAAGCCACAGTTTTCCTGAAACAGTATCCACCTTCCACTGCGTCCATATCATTTTACCCAGAGAGGTAAGTCCATAGACAAGAATTAAAAGTTTGCATAAAGTTTGAACCAGGTGCTAGATTGGTGTAGCCTTTCTTAGTCACTCCTTTCATCCTGAGACTAGTGAGAACTTGTAAACAACTTTATCTTGGTTTAGGTATTGATTTATACCTATCCAGCAATATTTATGGCTGCTGATATTTCTCATGCGACTTTTACTTAATTGATGTTCTTCTCGGATTGGCACGGAGAATGTGGCAGCCCACAAGAAGGGCAACAGCTCTCAGCATTGTTAAAGACTGCCATTAGCCAAGTGTGACAAGCCTGTAAGAGATTCAGCCAAATCTGTAATTGAGGGTAAGAGTTGAAGACAATTGTGGGAATGCCATTTCTTTTCCGTCGCAACACAATGTTGATGAATGGCTTCTTGGGGCAAAACCCTGCCACTTTAAATGGTTAGCATTCAGAGCTTAGTATGAGATCCAGTTCTTAACATTAACTGAGATTTTTAAACAATTTTGAGATTGCTGAATATTTTTCTATCTTGTCATCATGATGCAGTTTATATTTCATTTGTTTCATTTCTTTTCTTCTTTTCTTTGTCTCTATAGACTGTAGAAATTGAAAATGTGTAGACGTAGCCTTTATTTAATAGTTGTACAATAGTTCTGGGGACAATTTTATTCTTTAGCAATGGCTATTTAAATTATAGACATATTGATACATTTTAATTTGTGGATGTAGCTGGGTATATAGCAAGTTTCAACCTCTGCCACAGACTTATCCTACAAAAAGCAAAGCAGGACAATTCTATTTGCATGTTTTATCACTTCTAGTCTAGATCTCCTCGTTACCCTTTTCATCATTTTTCTTGTACTGTGTACTGTGTACTGTGTGATATAAGTTGCCAATATAATTCAATACACCAAAGTAGCTGAAATATTATTTCGCTGAAATCAAACTTAAACCTTTGGTCAGTTTGGAATTTTGAATGGTTTAGAAAGCAGTGCTTTTCAATCTTGGCAACTTTAAAATGTGTGGACTTCAACATCTTCAATGCTGGCTGGGGAACTCTGGTGGTTGAAGTCTGCATATTTTAAAATCACAAGTGTAAACCCAATCCAAATGGGCATTGCAAATCATGGTCACATGGCCATGGAACGTTCCAACCGGTTGTAAAGGTGAGCCAGTTGCCAAACGTCTGAAATGCAGTCATGTGATTACAGGGGGGTTGCACGACATTTTACAATGGCCAGAAATGCTTTATGGGTGGTAAAGTACTTGTTCCAGACCCATCATAATTTTGAACAGTTGTTAAGTGAATGGTCGTTAGCTGAGAACCACTTCTACTTTAATGAATAGAATAAAATAGTATAGAATAAGCTGGAAGGGACCTTGGAGGTCTTCTAGTCCAGCCCCCTGCTCAAACAGAACCGATACCACTTTAGATAAGAGACTGTCTAGATTCTTCTTAAAAATCTCCAGTGGTGGAACGTCCACAATTTCTGGAGGCAAGCTGCTCCACTGGTTAATTGTCCTCACTGTTAGGAAATTTCTCCTGAATTCCAAGTCTCTGGTTAATTTCCAACTATTGCTTCTTGTCCTGCCCTCTGGTGCTTTGGAGAATAATTTGACTTTCTCTTCTTTGTAGCAGCCCCTCAAATATGGGAATACTGCTATCCTGTCACCCCTCATTCTTCTTTTCTTTAGACTAACTACACCCAAATCTTGCAGCCGTTCTTCATATGTTTTAGCTCCAGGCCTTTGATCATCTTAGTTGCTCTTCTCTGAACTTTTTCCAAACTCTCAACATCTTTTTTGTAATGGAAAACATGAATACTTTATAGTGCATTCTTGTGAATAATTTGCAAAAAGAATTATTTGCATGCCATTTAGCTTTTTGCTAAATGGGGACTATATTTAATTCACTGTTCCTTGTGCTTTTTAGCAAAACAGAGCAAACCATGATCTCTAGATTATTGTGGCCTTTGGTTTTGCTGGACCTTCATGCGTTTCTGGTAGAAAACACCAATGAAGAAAAAAGAAATGGAGTCAGAAAGCAGAAGAGCAAACCGTTTGTCTCAAATGCAGTAGAAAAATATCCCAATTCAAGTGATCAAGGTGATTATTTTTGAGTAGTTCTGAAAGAAAATTTAATCTATCAGAGTCTAACATTTTATTTTGTATTCTGGAAGTTCAACAGTTTGAATGCTAGACTTATTCACAGCAAGATATAGTAGCTTGATTATAAGACATTTATTTTGCATCCAGAAGGCTGGTTTTATGCGTAGGGATTTTTCCAGCTAGGGCTAGGAAAAATTCTATCTGAATTCCTTCAACTTATGAAGGCAGCTCTCTCACACATGCCATTCTTAGTGCCGACCTTGGGAATTGGTAGAAAGCAATGGTTGGCTGAGAATCAGGGAGCAAGAAAGGAATCACTGCTGTTGCAGTTGCTCCACCCCACTCCCTCAATTGACTAATTTCCTGGAACTCTGCACTTGATTTCAACTTGACTTGTTGATCCTTAAAGTTTTAATGCCAATCAAGTTATGAAAAATGATTGGTGGATTCTGCTGGGTTCGTTTTCCTTCCCGTCAAAAGTCACTTTAGAGCAGGGAAATCAAGCGCCAGTTTTACTCTCCTTAAATGGGAGATGAAGCTGGGTGGTGTGAGTGCAGCTGGGTGTTTGAACAGGGAAGTTTAGCCAGCTGTCAGGTTGCCTTTACAAGTGCTTTGCACCTGTGACTTGTCAGTTAGGCTATTTTGGAACATAGATTTAGTGCTCTTTTGATATCCAATAAATAGCCAAATGAATAGGTCATTGGCACAGAAGAAGGCCACAGGGTGAAGAATGACTATGCCATTATCACATCCTTTGTGTGTGCTTTTGTGTTGTATGATGCCCTCCAGATTGTTACATTATAACTTTCATCAGATATAGCCCAACTAACTGGAAGTGATGGGAACTTTGTCCCATTTACCTTAAAGATACTTGATTGGGGAAGATAAAAAACAAGTCGGTAGAGACATATACATTCCACTCCCATAGCAATATGTACGGCTACAACTTCGTTTCTTTAGGTTTACCACAGAGGCAGAAAGATAAACCACAGATTTTCAGCTCTGTTTGAGGGAGAGGCTGCAAAATGGATGGTTCAACCTGTGGGCAGGAGCCCACAGGTTGCCTGCTTCTGTCATATACAAATAACAGGGGTGGGGGAATCTAAGTTTTCCATCTTTTTAGAGATAACCAATATTTTTTCAGAAATATATTGACATTTCAATAATTGTGTCCACATTCACCTATTATGCAGGCCTTATTTAAAGTTTCTTTAAGGGGCCATTCTCCAGCATTCAGCTTTCTCTAAAAAAAACTCTAGAAAAGCCTTTGCCATTCTAATAGCTGTGAATTCTGAGGCCTACAACCCAGGGATGAAATGCTCCCAGTTCAGATCGGATCGTCTCATCCGGTAGTGATGGCAGTGGGTGGTTCGGAGAACCAGTAGCAAAAATCACTGCCCTACCCCCATGCGCGCGGCTCAGCTGGGATCATTAGAGGCTTTTAAAAGCATTTTTTTTTCTGCAAGAGGTTGTAGAAAAAATGCTTTTAAAAGTTAAAAAAAAAGGTTGGCCACGCCCACCCAGTCACATTACCCCCACCCCCACCAAGCCACGCCCACAGAACCGGTAGTAACAAATTTTACATTTCACCACTGCTACAATCCATCTGGAAGCTACCAGACCAGAATAGTTCTGAGAGTGGTATGGGCAGAGGCATCTTTTCCCCTCCAGATACAGACCTATGGCAAGACCCATGCACACTTAGAAATAAATTCCTCTGAACTCAGCAGGACTTCCAAGTATAGAATTGTGCAGAACTGTGTTTTGTGTGTCAGAGGATAATGAGTTCAACATCTTCCATAGGTTTTCCAAACATCTGTGGAAGGTTGAATGGTTTGGCAAGAGGTCATATCCTTAGCATTCAAGTGACTAATCTGAGCTGTTTTCTTCCTCTGACTTTTGTGATTTCTAGATGAAGACTGTATTCTGGAAATGGCCTTCCTCCTTGACAGTTCCGAGAGCGCTAAGAACTTCAATCATGAGCAGCAGAAAAAGTTTGTCTTGGAGACAGTAGACAGAATGAAAGGCCTGCAGCTCAGCTCTGGCCGCACACTCAGCTGGAGGACTGCCTTACTTCAGTATAGCAGCACTGTCCTTATCGAGCAAACGTTTAGAGACTGGAAGGGTCCCGAGGCTTTTAAGTCTCGAATTGCTCCCATTACATACATTGGCCATGGGACCTATACCACCTATGCCATTACAAATCTCACTCAGCTCTATATGACTGAGGGAACTCATGGTAGCGTGAAAGTTGCCGTGTTGTTGACCGATGGGGCCGACCATCCGAGAAATCCAGATATTTTTTCAGCTACTGCCGATGCTAAACATCAAGGTATCGTGTTCTTCACTGTGGGAATGACCAGAGTAGCTGAGGAGGTGGCCAATGCTGCCAAACTCCGGCTATTGGCCAGTGTTCCAGCCTCCAGGTTTGTCTTCAATCTGCAGGAAAAAGACGTGGTGGAGAGAATCCTCAAAGAAATGGTAGGGGCAAACACCTCAGTGGGGCAATATAATGGATATATATCCCTTATTATTATTATTTTTTTAATTTGATTTATATGCCGCCCTTCTCCGGAGACTCAGGGCGGCTTACAATGCGTTAAGCAATAGCCTTCATTCTTTTGTATGTTTTATACAAAGTCAGTTTATTGCCCCCACAAACTGGGTCCTCATTTCACCTACCTTAGAAAGGATGGAAGGCTGAGTCAACCTTGAGCCTTGGAGAGATTCGAACCAGCAGAAATTGCAGGCAGCTGTGTTAATTACAGGGTGCACTAAACCCCTGTACTATCAAGGCTCTTTTGTACCCTTAGGCAGATACAATTTTTCAGTGGCTTATGTGCAAATTTCTGCGACGGAATATCACTTGTAACACAGGGCTCCAAATGTCCCTGCTTTCAGGAAGGCCATAATTATATCCCTCCTCACAAGGTAGCTGTCAAAATGCTAGCTGTTCAATGTCATATTAGGGTTTAGTCAAATTACTTGAATATATGCTATGTAATCAGTTGGAAAAGATGAGCCAAGAGCTGAGGTTGATTACTGTTTTAAGGAGATGACAGAAGCCAGTCTGGTAGAGTGGACTAGAAACACAAGAGATCATGACTCTAGTCCACCCTCAGCTACAGCAGTTCATTGGCTGACTTTGGCCAGCCAGTTGTACCCATCCCATTCCACCTCACAGGTTTGTTGTTGGAGAAATAGGAGGCGGGAGATGTACAAAGAAGGAGGGAGGAGGGAGAAATAGGAGGAGGGACATGTATAGCTCAAAATGTACACCCATCTTGAGCTATACAAAAGAATAAGAATAAGAATACTTTTATTTCTATACCGCCCTTCTCCCGAAGGACTCAGGCCGGTGTACAGCCTATTAAAAGCACAAGACAAACATCAATTAAAATTATTTAAAATTATTAAATAATTCGGCTCAATTTAAAACCCCAGAAATTTAAAACACCCAATTTAAAATTATTATGTTGATAGCCCGGCCTGGCGGAACAACAGGGTCTTGAGTGCACAGCGAAATACCCGGAGTTCGGAGATCTTACGCACTTCCGGGGGCAATTCATTCCACAGGGCTGCGGCTCCCACAGAGAAGGCCCTCCCCCTGGGTGTTGCCAGCTGACATAACTTGGCCGATGGCACCCTGAGGAGACCCTCTCTGAGGGAGCGAACTGGCCGGTGGGAGGTTATTGGTGGCAGAAGTCGGTCTCGAAGGTACCCGGGTCCTATGCCATGGAGCGCTTTAAAGATGGTGACCAACACCTTGAATCGCACCCGGAAGAAATGAAGCATAAATATGAGTAAATAAATAAGCATGGAGGGGCCAAATATTTTGTTGGTGAGTATGAGGTCATATTATAGGCCAATAATATAACCATGTATCCATTAACGACACATTCTGTTCTTCCGTTCTTATTTATTAACACATGAGAGTTATATATGTTTTTTGTCTCCTACATTACACTTTTTTCCAAGTTCCACTTCCATAAATGCATTCATGTAGATATCCAGGGTAGGGAAGCCTTTGCATGTGGGCCTTTATGGACTGAGGCTTCCCTCTGTTCCAGAATAGATAGGTAGCCTTTGCATTTCAGCTTCTCCACAAAAACGCTTCAGGGTGGTGAGAATGAGGACAGGAGGAATCACACCATTCTGGGGGTGGAGCTAAAGGTATCTCCCACCTTTTCCAAAAAGCTTTACCACTCTGGAACTTCAAATATATAGACATTAACAGTTGCTGTCTTATGTTCTCAGTATATCTTATCTACCCTATTATGTAACTATTAAATATACAGAAGTTTTGTCAAATAAAAAGACAGCAATTGTATAGTATTACCATGCTGGGAATATCTTCCCACAAGCTTTCTTTTTCACTTTTTAAAGAATTATGCTTTATTATCTGTAAAAATCTAATTTTTCTTTTCCATTTATCTATCTCTCTAGAAAGATCTGGCAGAAGAAGGGGTACGTCATATTTGTGAACGGATGAAGGAACAGATGGATTATGTTTAAAACATGAAAGTGAAATAATTACTTACATTGGTGAAAATGTTGTATATTTTTATTACCATTATTCTTTAATCAATACAATCCACCCTTTAGCAGGGGTGAAATCCAGCAGGTTCTGACAGGTTCTGGAGAACCGGTAGCGGAAATTTTGAGTAGTTCAAAGAACCGACAAATACCACCTCTGGCTGGTCCCAGAGTGGAGTGGGAATGGGGATTTTGCAGTATCCTTCCCCTGGAGTGAGGTGGGAATGGAGATTTTGCGGTATCCTTCCCTTGGAGTGGGGTGGAAATGGAGATTTTGCAGTATCCTTCCCGTGGAGTGGGGTGGAAATGGAGATTTTGCAGTATCCTTCCCCTGTCATGCCCACCAAGCCATGCCCACAGAACCAGTAGTAAAAAAATTTGAATTTCACCACTGTCCTTAAGGGTGTGGAGATATTACAAGAGTATGATATAAATTGATTAAAAACACTCAAAGGAAATATAAGAATAGTTATAAGCAAAACAGAGCTTGTCTCAGTTATGTTGAAGATTCATTTGCTTGGTTGTTTTTCTCCCCAGTGTCCTCAACCTCCTGTATGTAACTGTGAAAAAGGAGACAAGGGCCTTCCTGGCCCTGCTGTAAGTACCCTTCCCCCCCCCTCACTTTTCTAGTTCTGGACCTTACATTTTATGTACAACATGGATTACTTTTAACGGTGGCACTTTATTCATTTGCAATGCTGGGATGATGAAATGTGCATTGAGAAAAGGCAGGGTTGTGATTCAGTAGGACAATCACAGAAACTGTATCTATCAGAGTTTCTTGCAAAAACCAAATGCAGAAGCCCACACAGGTAACTGATTCAGCTGGATTCATTAACTTCTTTATATACATATTAATACATGAAGATAAATGTACAATACCGATATAGAAGATTCTTCCAATGTAGCAGTTACAGGCAAAACACAAGGCAGGAGAGAACAGTTAGTTTCATTTCAGCAGAGCAGACTAGTTCACACTGGCTAGTTTCATTTTAGATCTCAGCACAGAGGAGGCAAGCAAATCCAGAATTGCTTAGTTTCTGTTTCAGAGCTTCTGCACAGACTCAGTTGCCTAAGCCACACCCAGACTTCTTCCTTAAGTTTCTATTTCCAAAACAAGCCCCATTGGCTGAACTTGTTACCATGTCCTATTCCAGTTGATGAATATACTCTGATAGTATCTGCATACAGTTGTGCAGATATACAAACTTGACCTACCTAGTGGGAGCGTTCCAGATGAAACAGACATTTGGTTAAACTGTAACTGTCAGCAAGACCGAGGAAAGTTCATTGGATTTCTATCTTGCCTTGTCTTTGGAGAGCAGGGAGTGAGTCTTCCTTCATTTTATTCTGAGAACAAAAATCACCACTGAGTTTCATCAAAGAACAATTACAACCCAATCACACCTTCAAATAATATATCATCGTATAATGGTTAAAACAAATACAATACTTGAAAGGGGATTTCATTAATTATGTTACCAAAATTACTAAATTTGTAAGATGCCGGCAACTCTAGCTTGGTACCAATTAATCTCTAGATTAGAGATACTGACTTGCATGGAACAGTGTGAACATGGATGAATAAAACTGAGTTTTGGCTGCACTTAAAGTACACAAGCCCTGTGATGGAGTGGTTAGAATGCATTGCAGACAAACACTGCCCACAGCCTGGAGTTTGATCCTAGCGGGGCTTAAGGTTTACTCAGCCTTCTATCTTGATGAGGTTGGCAAAATTTTTGGTGGCAATATGCTGGCATTGTAAACTGTTGTATTGTATTGTAAAGTAATATGGAATGGTATATAAGTGGTCTAAATGCTATTGCTATACGAGCCCAAAAGTGCTGAAACTGTTCCAGATGCTCGTACCAAAGGTACTTTTTCAAGAGGCAACTGGTTTTTCTGGTTTTTCTTTGAAGACGCTTCACTTCTCATCCAAGAAGCTTCTTCAGCATTGACTGAATGGTGGGGAATTCAGTCCCCAAATGGTGGACAAGAAATATAAATGGTGGACCAATTTATATTCCCTGCAGTATAAATCCTTCCATTCCCCACCATCCAGTCAGAGCTGAAGAAGCTTCTTGGATAAGAAGCGAAATGTCTTCAAAGAAAAACCAGAAAGTCCAGTTGCCCCTTGAAAAAGCATCTTTGGGACAACTATGACCTGGATGATTGAGAATCTCCATAGACATGTTCCAGATGCTCTTTACCCTTATCAGGGTACACTGCATCCTGCAGGTGTAACTAAATCTGGTTAGTTAGACTACATCTTCTCCATAATACTACAAAGCAATATGTCAAAGCCTTAACTGACCCAAATCCATAATCTGTGTTAAAGATCAATATTACTGGTTCAACTGGTAATAACGTGGCAGTTGTATAGGCAGAACATTGTAAGAACATTCTTACATTAAGTAAGAACTTAAAGTAAACTCATACTTATGACTGGGCTGCTTATTAGTAAAAACAATGAGTGGCATACTTCACCCTCTCCTTCCTCAAACTACTCCTGTTAGAATATCTGCAGTAACAGAATCTTGCAAGTCTGAATGTGCTTCCTCCTACCTCTTTTATTTTCATGTGAATTAAAGGGATGCCTGCTTTAGGCACTTTTGTAATTCTGTATCCTAACTTAAAAGCCATATTTATTTGTTTGTCACTTTGTAACAGATTTTCCCTCTGGCTGTCAAAGCCATCCTCTCTACTCTCTTCAGGGAGCAAGAGTGAATGCAAAAGCTACAGAAGGGCTTGATTTATTAAATATATTGGGTAGAATTCTGACCTAAAAATATGATAAGAAGTGCAGTGCAGCCAGGCAGGCAGAGGAGGGGGATACCCAATGTTAGCTTGTTAGTAATTTTCAATTATGGAATGGTTTGTGACAAATAGGGAGTTGAAACCATTCTGAATTCAATAAACATATTATTATATGATAGAATTAAAGCATGAGAATAAGTGGAATGTATAATAAATGGTTCAGCACTGAACAGGGAATATATCAAGATGCTATTGGCTATATCTATCAGAATGATATACTGTATGTAGTCTGCTTCTCTTAAGTACTCAGGATAGAGAAATACTGTACAGACACGTCCCAGTCTCTGCCTCACTTCCACTCTCCCTCTTGGCGAAGTGAGAATTTCTGGTTTTTAACAGTATACAGTACATTCTGAGAACTACCCGTACTATATGTTTCCTCTTGCAGCATCACTAAGAGCTACAGCCTTTAATAACAAAACTCAGATAGTGCTTTAAGCAAAAGTTCTTAGAATTTCATTCCTTGTATCCCTAGCCATCTTTTCGTTTTCTTGGGAACAATAAGTTAAAGTTGTTGAAGTGTAACATCTAGGAATTGGGACCGTAAAAAACTCTATTAACTTTTCACTTTTATATCTTTTGCTTCCAGGGTAAAAAAGGTCGCCCTGGGGATGATGGAGCATCTGGTGCAAAAGGAGGAAAGGTGCTGTTATCTTTGACATATGCTTAAACGCTCATTTGTTTTTTTAAAAAAAAATCAGTCATTTAGAATGTATCTGGTTAAAATTAAAGGATCTCCCATCATGGTAGAAATTAGAAGTTAAAGCATGATGCTTACATTTCAGCATATGAGCGATGTTTTGTTAAGAAGGTAAAACTAGACAGACCTAGAAGACTTCAGCTGATCCAGAACCGTTCATTAAAAGTTGTTTTTGGAATGTTCTCAGAACACTTAGAATGTCCATTAAGTTGTGAAAGCAGCAGGTTGTGGAATAATAATATTAAAATTTCCTATTGCTTCTAGGGGGAGCCAGGCTTAAATGGAATTCCAGGAAGAGATGGGACAGAGGTAAGTGAATTTATTTGCTTGAAGGAAACCTCTAGATACTGCAAAAAATCCCAAAGGTGCTTTACAGATACTGTAAAAAAATCGCAAAGGCAACTGAACTTTTTTTTTTTTTTTCATTTATATGCCGCCCTTCTCCGGAGACTCAGGGCGGTTTACAGTGCATTAAGCAATAGCCTTCATTCTTTTGTATATTTATACAAAGTCAGCTTATTGCCCCCACAACTGGGTCCCCAATTTACCTACCTTAGAAAGGATGGAAGGCTGAGTCAACCTTGGTTTTTCCTTCAGTTTAGAACTGAAGAAGCTTCTTGGATGAGAAGCAAAACCACTTCAAGGAAAAACAAAGTCCAGTTGCCTTTTGAAAAAGCATCTTTGGGACAACCATGACCTGGATGACGGAGAATCTCCATAGACCTACTTTAAAAATGTATGTCATCATACCTTGATAATCATAATTGGCATTCACCCAAGCAGAAGTAGGCAGGAGTCTCATTTTCTATCCAGAGCTGCACTCACTCAGGGAGGAGCATCTGAACTGTGTGATAAATGGAGATGAGAGCCGAAAGGAGTGGGACTTTTCCTTGCTCTCATTTTCTTTCTTTCTGACATTCTTCTATCTCTACTTAAGGAACAGGCTGCCAGGGAGGAGACAGAATTTTACAATACAATGGATCTGATCCAGGGGTGAAATCTACTTACCTTCCCAACCGGTTCGGAAGTGCACGCACACGCATCACGTGTGCACGCTGACCCTCTGCGCATGCACAAACTCTTCTGCGCATACACAGAGGGTAAAAAACAGGTTTTTTGATGACTGGGCAAGTGGGCAGAGCCTCGCGCCACGATCGCTACCGGTTCTCTGAACTACCAGCCGCCATCGCTACCAGTTCGGCCGAACTGGTCCAAACTGGAAGCATTTCACCCCTGATCTGATCTCTTTGAATCATAATTAGGCAAAGGTAGGGCTACTGTATGAGGATTTTAAAATGCCAGAGGACCACTAGCCATCAGCAAAAAGTATGAGTCTTTGCTGCCATATAGCGATGATCAGAGTTTTTGCAACCCAGATTTAGTAGCTTTAAGCTGTTGCCTGCATGGGGTCCACTAATATAAAGCAAAAAAAAATTTTTTTAGATCCAGTAAAAAAAAAATAAACAAATTCAGCAAGGTGTGAAGGACTGCTCCTCCCACATCATTGGCCTCACTCATAAAATCTTCAACACTCTATTTCAACTCATGTCTGCAATCTGGACTAGATCATGCAGCAACTGTAACCTTAATTCCAAGCCACACAAGGTACCTCATGGGATATTGAAAATAGCTAAACAATGGCATGGTCCAGCACAGGGATGTCAAACTCAAGGCCCGGGGACCAGATCTGGCCCACATGGTGCTTAGATCTGGCCCGTGGGGCCGACCTGGAAACAGCAAAGGACCAACCCACAGTGCCTCTGCCAATGAAAACGGAGCTCAGGAGGGCCGCAGGTGATCCTCCTGAGCTCTGTTTTCACTGGCAGTGGGTTGCAGGAGGCCATCACAGTCAAAAACAGAGCTCAGGAGCCCATTTTCACTGGCAGAGTACTCGGGCCACCAGAGGTGCCCCTGACATGAATGACTTTGAGCTAGCCACACTCACCCTGGCCGCCTAAGGTCAAACACAGCCCTGATGCGGCCCTCAATGAAATCGAGTTTGACACTCTTGGCCTAGCATAATGCTAACTGGATTTTTATAATGTCAGCCTTTTCATACTATTGAAAGAAATTGCAACAAAATCCTCTTATTTTATTCAGGAGCTCAGATACTGCTTTGTAAAAAAACTGCGAGACAAAAATGGTGACTGAAGCATTAGCATTAACACCAGGGGTGAAATTCACTTACCTTCCCTACTGGTTCGTAAATGTGTGTGCACTGTGCATGCACAAAGCTTTCCGCACATGTGCAAAGCCTTCTGTGCATGCGCAGAGGCTTAAAATGTCACAAAAAAGCAAAGTCATGATGTCCGTGCAAGTGGGCAGAGCCTCCCACAGCTGCCACTACCTGTTCGTCCGAGCTGGATAGAACTGGCTGAATTTCATCCCTGATTAACCCTCTGCACAACTTTTCAGTGGCTTTTCTGCGGGTCTGATGCTAGAGAATCAGAGCCACTGTGCATTCCACCCCCACTTTGCCCAAGGCACTGGATTGAGTTCACCAAATAAAAGTCAAATTTAAAAAATAAATTAAAGGAAGAACCAACCACTAGCTCTTAGTTCCTTTTCCTTACCCCAAGACAGATGTACATTTTAAATTAATAAATATCCTTCCCTAGTGTTAGTCCTACACTTTTTGGCTAATAGGTTCCTGTACTAATTTAGTTAAAAGATATTTCACTTCTTTCTTTTAGGGGAAATCTGGATACAAAGGAGAAAAGGTATGGATTTCTCACCTTCTTGTGTCCTCTATTTGTTGCATGCCAATAACAGGTGAGTTACTGAATTTAAAGACGAAGGTTGGAGTATTTATTAATTAATGAATTGTATATCCCACATTTTCCTTTCTTTGTAAAATCTTAAACATGTTTCCAAAAAGAAAATATAAAGGGGGTGGAAATCTTGCAGTGAAGGAAGACCAAAGTTGTCGCTTGCTATTGACTTTTAATGCAGAGATAATATTAACAACACTTTTTAAATCTCAGGGTGAAAGAGGCGAATGTGGAACACCAGGCATAAAAGGAGACCGAGTAAGTAACTGTCACAGATTTAACTGGGAGGAGTGGAGAGATGGTAAAGAAAGGGCTTGGAAAGAAGATAAGATCTACCCATGTTTTCCCGAAAATAAGACAGGGTCTTATATTAATTTTTGCTCCAAAAGATGCATTGGGGCTTATTTTCTGGTTAGGTCTTGTTTTCGGGGGAAATACAGTACTAAATGCAATCTTAACTGGGGCTTATTTTTGGGGTAGGGCTTATATTATGAGTATCCTGAAAAATCATGCTAGTGCTTATTTTCCAGTTGGGTGGGTCTTATTTTGGGGGAAACAGGGTACATAGAGCTGATGTAGATGTAGCCTGATCCTAAAATACCTAGATCATCGTTGTGTAAATATGATTAGGAAAGAGAGGACTGTTGGGGTGGGAATATTTTCAATGGGTGTAAAGAATACAATAGTATCGATCAGTTTTTAAATTAGCTGCCTCAACATTAACAACCTGTAGTAGACTTGCAAAAATGAATCTCTGGACAGATGCCACCAATCAGTGCGAATACTATGAGCCTGGCTAGACCTCCACCTTGAGTTGGTCAAAGGCAGCTTCCTCATTTCTTCTCTTACCTTGTAGGGTCCAGAAGGCCCAGGTGGTCCAAGAGGTCCCCGAGGTCTGCAGGTAATAGACACTAGAAAGTCTGCTTAAAGATTGTGCGGCATTCCACTCTTCTCTCTCTCTTCAGATTTAATCCTGATCCCAATTGCCGCTGTAACTGGAAGACTAGTAATTTTACAATGTTACTACGTAATTTATTTATTTTTAATTGTATTATGATCAGAATGGAGCTAGTGAGGATTAGTGGGGATGATGCAAATGTCAGATCATGAAGCTATTTTCTAATGTCATCCACAAAAGGTATTTCTTCTACAGGAAAGAATGGGATGAAATAAACTTGAAGCTCTTCAGATAATATTACTTTTTTACATCATAGTTCCCATACCTGTATTCTATCCTATATGTTTCTTATACCTTTCTCAGTTCCAGAATCTGAGTCTGAATCTGATCTGAATCTCTGATCCAGAAATAAATCTTAATTCTAATCCTTTGTATTGCTGCATAGTATTATATTAATATTATATTATATTATATTATATTATATTATATTATATTATATTATATTATATTATATTATATTAATAGGAATAGGAATAGGAATAGGAATAGGAATAGAATAGAATAGAATTTTATTGGCCAAGTATGATTGGACACACAAGGAATTTGTCTTGGTGCATATGCTCTCAGTGTACATACAAGAAAAGATGCATTCAGAAAGAAAGCAGAATAAATGTCACTCACTAATCAAACATTTAATATAAAAACACAGTATGCAAATGCCATAAAAAGTATTTGCTTAGTTCCAGTAAATGAAGTTCTTTTCACACATAATTCCCTCCACAAGGGAATTTCCTACACTATGTGTAGGAAAATGTTTATACTGTTACTTGTTTGTATGCTCCAAGAACACAGGGAAAATTAGGTCCCATCTCCAGAAATCTATGGCCACCTAAGTATCTGTGGCATCTCACAAACTCTTGCCTTACAATTCCTGCTCCATCTGCCCCCATGTGTTATTAAATAGTACATAGTTTTAGGCTCTAAATAATAAGTGAATCCACTGTGCCTGGGATCCAGCAATGGTTGGGAGCTCTTACAATGTCTGTATTGAATTGATATAAAATGAATTCTGCTGCTGATTGTGATTTTGTGTGTTTTAAACTGATTGTGGACAGTTTTTATATTTGTATCTTAGTTTTAAATTTGTTTTTACTTGTTGTGAGCCACCCAGAGTTACTTACTGTAGATCACGGCTGTCAAACTCGTGGCCCGTGGGCCAGATGCAACATGCACTGCCCACATCCACACCTGGTTTAGCGAAGGGGGGAGGGGAAATTGTGATACGTCACGTGACGCTGGTGTGACAACCTGAGTTTGACACCCCTGCTGTAGATGATTTGGGTGGCCACACAAATTAAATGAATCAATTAATCAATCAATCAATCAGCTAAGTTCATACATTGTGCCCAGTCATGATTTGTTTTAACCATGGTTGTTGGATAAGTCATAATATCCTGGTCCATTGTAGCCAACATCTATTTGTAATCTGTCATAATTATAGCCTAGGGCCCACAAGTATCTAGACTCAATTATGCATCCTCAGGGGTGTTGCGGCAGGTGGAAATTTGAGAACTGGTCAAACATCAACTTTTTTCAGTACCACTGCAATTTTGACCAGTCGTTGAACAAATGAACATAAGCTGAGGACTACAAGTACAATTCAGTTGCATGACTATCCTCCAGATCTTTTTCCTTTCCCAGATTAAACAAACAGTCCTTAAATTTATTGTGGTATATCGAAAGGTTGGCAGTTCAGCAGTTTGAATCCCTAGTGCCGCGTAACAGGGTGAGCTCCCGTTACTTGTCCCAGCTTCTGCCAACATAGCAGTTCGAAAGCATGTAAAAAATGCAAGTCAAAAAATAGGGACCATCTTTGGTGGGAAGGTAACAGCGTTTCATGCACCTTTGGCTTTTAGTCATGCTGGCCACATGAGACATCTTCGGACAGCACTGGCTCTTCAGCTTAGAAATGGAGATGAGCATTGCCCCCTAGAGTCAAGAGCGACTAGCATGTATGTGCAAGGGGAACCTTTACCTTTACCTTTAATGATATATAAGTACACTGGCCAGAATTACTTTCACATGAGTTGGGAGGCTATACAAATATGGTGATGGTGAGGATGATGATGATGGTGATTAGATAGAGGCAGGCAGGCAGGCAGGCAGACAATAGGCCGACAAGTATAAATAAAACTGGACAGAAAGAAAAGTTACCTGGAAGAAGAAGGACACACTCCCTCTTCCATCCAGTGGCCTCTCATGGACTTTTTTTTCCTCCCTTTTCTCTCTCACCTGCAGTAGGATATGTTTTTTTCATATATACTTTATTTATTTTTATTTATTAAATTTATATGCTGCCCATCTCACTGATAAGGCAACTCTGGACAGCTTACAAAAAATTATAGTTATCCCAGAAAGACACAACTTGCTACCTATTTCAGAAGATCCATCCAGACCATTAGCAGGAATCTAATCACGGAAGGAAGGTAACACTGCTGATACCACCATTGTTGGTCAACTCTTGTTGACCCTTATTAAGCTATTCCCAGGACTACACTGTTTTTTTTAATAAATTTACAGACTGTTTGAGATAGAAATTAACACTGCTGTGCGAATATAACCAATCTTCTGATATACAGATAAATGATCTAACTACTCAACTATTACTGTCTACTGCAGTCAGTTGATCGTATCCTTGTTTATCTATCATCTTAACTTGAGGCTTTGAAGATCTTTCATATTTTAACAGGGCCCCCAAGGAGTGCCGGGAGATCAAGGACCTGAAGGAGTGCAAGGATCAAAGGCAAGCATTCTAATCATCATTCGTTGATTTTCGACATCATAAAACATCTCACTTACATTTATAATCTTTGCAAGCGTGTGACCGATTCATAGCACTCGGATTTAAAGCACACCTAGAAAAAGGGAAAAACCAAACACCCTGAGTTCCGAGCTGCCCAGAGTTTCTTATAAAATAGGTAGCTATATAAATGTTGTACCTAAACAAATAAAAACAACCTATAAGCTCCTTGATTTTAAATGTTAACTATAGAAGTAAGGTTTAAAAAAGGGACAATGGGTTTCAAATTTGTGGAGAACTCCTCTGCTGCTTAAAACATTCTGTGAAACGTTTTTCCCAATTGGCATTTTCAGAGGTCGCTGCTTACTCTCTCCGTGTACATTATTGAAATATATAATAATCGTTCAGAAATACTACTTTTAATAAAAAGCCCTGTTTTTATCTATAATGCGTTTATGTTTCAGACATTATGACTTGGTTGTTTTTCAATGAAGGCATCACGATATCATTTGTGTCCATTTATATCATTAGTGTAATTTCTGTCATTTGTGTGTTATACTCTCCAGTTTAATGGCCGATTAGGTATTGGCCAATTAATTAACAGATAAATATATTTGATAAACAAACAAACAAACAAACAAATTACAGATATTATCTTCCCCAATTAGTCTACTGAATGGAGGTTTTACAAGACTGTCCTGTTTCCTCTGTTGTTGATTCTAGCTACCATAGCTAAACTGAAAAAAAAAGTTCCTACGAAGTCACAACAGAGGTTCATCAAACAGCAAGAATCCACTCCTTCATTGCTGCTTGTAAATAGGAGATCAAGCTGCACAAATTGAAACGTTCACAATATTCCATAGCATCAAAATCCCCTTTAAGACACTTCAGTTCATTTGAACCTTTGGTATGGCTTCAAGCCTCGGGGAACTATAAAAGCACAGCTCATAAATAACATCTTGTTGAGACTTTGTATGATTTATGATTTTTTTTTTCTTTAAAGTACAAGAAAGCTATTTAGCTCCAGGGCACCTCTCCATACTACGTTGCTCTATATGCATACTAAGAATTGGATTCCCATAACTGTTTTCTTCCACTTGGATATCATATTTGAATTCTTTAGAAAATATAGTCTTCATGGTAATGGAACACATGCCTAACTCCATTAATTTTTTTCCTATTTCATGTATAAATGTTACGGTTACATAGTTGTTGCAAAGTTTACTTGTGACCTTATTTCCCTCTTATTTTATTGTTATTTTATTCATTGTATATGGGCGGTCCTTGTTTAAGGACTGTTTCAAAATTGTGACAGAGCTGAGTGAGTGGTACTTAAGATGGCTCCTCAGAATTCTGTCCACCACAGCATCCTCATGGTCATCTGATCACTATTCGCTGTATTTTTTTGGCTGATTTCTTACAAGCAAAGGCAGTGGGGAAGCCAGCAGAATTAATTGACAGCTTTGCGACTGGAAGCTCTCTCTCGGCCTGGCAATTATCTAAGGACTGATAAGGTCTGTTATTGCAATTAACCCTTGGAAGGATTATTGTCTGGACTTTTCTGTGTGCGAATGCCATGAATTTACAGTAGTTAAATAAAGAGGGATTTTTCGGGACAAGGAATCAGTTTCTTGGTTCTGCTAAGGCTGGGTCAGAACAGTGTCTATGATATACTATGTATACATGTTCATCTAAAATACATTTATTTATTTATTTTAAAAAAATAATTTTTATTAAACAGTTTGCCTTTAAAAAACAGCAACACAAAAAACAACCACATGTACATAAAAAAAAGACATTAAACCATAACGTATTGAACATCACATACCGTCAATGGTAATGGTCAATGGTCTATTTACTTCTCAATAGTAGTATAATAGAGCTACTCCAACTTATATATATATATATATACACACATTATAATATTTATTGTTCTTATCTACACATTTATATTCATTTATATTTACATCTCTTTATTTAATGTTATTCAGTTACTCCAATTTAAGTTTCATCAGTATTAAGTTAAACATTTCCTGTTCTGGTTTCTATTATCGAGCCAACTGTATATTTTATTCCATGTTTCATAATAGTCTGAATCTTCCCTCTCTTTCAACTCCATAGTCATTTTATCCATCTCTGCGCATTTGCGAATTTTCCTAATTACTATTTCATCTGAGGGTACATTTATGCTCTAAAATACATTTATGCCCTAGAACTGCAGAACAGCATTTAGAAAACTGTGAAACCCAAATGATAATTGTCATTTGCATTCTTTTTGCTAAGTTTCTATTTTCTGTTCTGTTTTCTCAAGTTTATATAGGCTCTCCATTCCCGTAATATCTTTTGCCCTATAGCTAACTCTCACCACTTCGCTCCAGAAAATAATTATAATTAATTGAAGCATGATGATTTATTTTACAATTATCTCCTTTGAAAAAGAAAAAGAGACAGCTTACCTTCGTTAAAATCTTATCAACATAATTAAAGCATTTATTTCTCTTACCTTTTAAGGGTGAAAGAGGCCTCCCAGGCCCTGTTGGATTGACTGGAGAAACAGGAGTTGGATTACCTGGCCCAAAGGTGAAAAAAAATGCCGGTCAATCATAGATACTTCTTGTGCAAAAGAACAAAAGAGAAGATGCAGTTAAAATAGTAGAGATTAATAATAAATGTCGATAAATAATAAAAATTTCAACTAGTACAAATGTCTTTGTATTACTTTTAGAAACTTTAAATACTTTTGAATATGCAGTATATATCTGAAAGTATTTGAAGTTTCTAAAAGATTTTCCAGGTAATACAAATGTAAATAATTATGAATTATTACCAGTAATTTATTAGTAGTATCATTTGATTGCCATGCATGGAGTTATGGGTCCTGGGATAATATTTGTTTCAATTCCTTCTCACACTCCCAAGGAGATTATAACAAAAATACTGTATTTGTCTAATAAACTGTATTTTCTTAAATTCAAACATAAAATTTCTGTTTTGAAGGGAGACATTGGCTTGACAGGCAGACCAGGCCCTCCTGGTCCACCAGGTATTGGGGAACCAGGTTTACCGGTATGTATTTGAACCTCAGGAAATTTCAGAAAGGGAAGGGTTGAAAACAATATGAAAATAAGATTTTCTGAAAATAAGATGCAAAACTCAGATCTGGTGTAAAATGAAGAACATAGTTGAGTGTCTTCTATTCATGTGCAGGTAATCCTTGACTCATGACCAGTGGTGGGTTCCTCCCGGTTCGGCCAAGTCGGTAGCGGTGACGATATGACATCACCAAACCGGTTCTCTTTGTTCGGGAGCTGGGCCCTCCCGCCCCCCCACCACGTTATTCTTACCTTTTATTTGGCCTGCCCCCAATCTATTTGCTGCCTCCCGAGTCCCAGCTGATCAGCTGGAAGGAAAAAAACTGTTTAAACTCTTGCCGCAGGGCTTCAAAGGGCTGCCCTACAGCTGATCAGTGTTAAAAGGCAGTGTGGTAGTAGACCAGTGTGCTCGAAAAACAATTGGGTAGACCAGAACGCTCCAAGAACAAGTGGGTAGACTGGTACAGCTCTGCAAGCAGTTAAAAGCCTGGTAGACCAGTAATTCTGCTAAATCCTAAATCGATGGTCAATCACATGACCATCAAACCATGCCCACAAAATAAACCATGTCCACAGAATTGGTAGTAAAAAATTTTAGAACCCACCCCTGCTCATGACCTTTCGTTACTAACCATTCAAACTTATGACGATGCTGAAAAATGTTATTCACAAGCAATCCTTGAACTTACAACTGTCCCTACAATTATGTGATTGCAGTTCAGGCACTTGGCAAGTGGCTCATACTTAAGGCAATTGCAGCATTCTGCAATCATGTGATTGCCATTTGTGACCTTCCCTGCTGGCTCCCAATAAGCAAAGTTAATGGGTGGTGATTCACTTAACAAACATGGCAAAAGCGGTAATAAAACTGGGTGCAATCACAGGATACCTCACTTAACAATTGTACTCCTTAAGTATGATTTTTTTTTGTTGTTGTTGAATATAAGTCAAGGGCTATCTATATAGCCCGGGTGCCATCGGCCAGACAATGTCAGCTGGCGGCCCTCAGGGGTAGAGCTTTCTCTGTGGGCGCACCCACTCTTTGGAATCAACTCCCCCTGGGGCTTCGGTTGGCTCCTGACCTTTGCACCTTCTGCCGCAAATTAAAAACATGGCTGTTCACATCACCCAGCCTGGACTGAGCGGTTTTGATTATTTTAATGGGTTTTAATATATGTTTAAATTATATATTTATACATTTATGTATTTTATGTATGCATATTTATGTATTTTATGTTTTATTGGGTTTATTTTTATTTGTTGTGAACCGCCCGAGTCCTACGGAGATAGGGCGGCATACAAATTATATTAAATAAATAAATAAATAAAATAAATATCAGCAGTTTTCAAACTTGGCAACTTTAAGATGTGTCGACTTAACTCCCAGAATTCTGTACTGACAATTGTCAGGATGTACTGTCCTTTTGCGCTGTCAATCCAAAAAGTTGGGAAAATGTCAGCATGTAGTGCAATGTTATCGAGTGATTGATTAATTGATTGAACATGTGCCATCGGGTTGATGCCAAATAGATACATTTTCTCCATGACAATCTGTCCCTAATCTGGTCTTTCAGGTCTCCCAACATGGCACTCATTGCTACTGTAACTGAGTCCATCCACCATCTGCTAATCCTCTTCTTTTCTTTTCCTCTCCTTTAACCAGGATTAGAATCTTTTCCAGAGAGCTGGGTTTTCACATAATGTATTCAAAGCCAAATAATGAAGCCAAAAGTTAGGATAATTGGAACCTAATAATTTGTGACCTGATTGAGATCTCTGGGTTGATTTGTTCAGGGATCTGTTTTAGAATTAGAATTAGAATTAGAATTAGAATTAGAATTCTTTATTGCCCAAGTGTGATAAGACACACAAGGAATTTGTCCCTGGTGCATAAGCTCTCAGTGTACATACAACAATAGTGATAGATCATTATCATAGTCATTGTAAAAATACATTCATCATAAAACATTAGATACAACATACAACACTTAGTGATAGCCATGGATACTAAATAAGCACTAATATAAGGAAAAATATGAGCAACCAGCACCCAAAAGGATGTACCTATACTTTTACAAAATTATATTATTACCACGAAATTATGTTGTTCCCATATGTAGTTACCAGCAAGAATGACTAAGAACTTTACTCCCGTAGTGCATCTGTCAGGTAATGTTGGATGTGTTCAAGAAAGATGCTTTCAGTTTGTATAGGGCTGTGATGGCGAACCTATGGTATGCGTGCCAGAGGTGGCACGCAGCACCCTCTCTGTGGGCATGCGAGCCATCACCCCAGCTTGGCTCCACCGCACATGCCCGCATGCCTCCTGCTGCCAGCTGGTCTTCAGGTCTCTGCCATGCAATTTTAGGGGGTGGGACATATGTGGTGGGCCGCGCGCATTGCATTTTGGGGGTTCGGATGTGCTTTGGGCACTCGGTCCAGAAAAGGTTAGTCATCCCTGGTATAGGGCAATAGTGTATTGTAGCCATAAAGATCTGGCCTCACTCGGTATGAATGGTTACCATATGCCACTCTTGCAGTGATTCTAGGGCACAGATGGCTAACCTTTTCTGGACCAAGTGCTCAAAGCACGTGCATGCCCAAACCCCCAAAATGCAATGCGTGCACGGCCTACGCATACGCACATGCTCCCCCACATGTGCCCTTCCCCACACACATACACACACGCACCTCCCGCATGCGCCCTGCCCCCCCACACATGCACATACGGGCCCCGCATGCGCCCTGCCCCCCCTTGCATGTGCACGCGTCCCCCCTCTCACGCTCCCCACCCCCACGCTTGCATGGCAGAGACTCCACGACCAGCTGGCCAGCGGGAGGCACGTGCGCATGTGCAGCAGAGCTGAACTGGGGCGACGGCTTGCGTGCCCACAAAGACAGCACTGTGTGCTACCTGTGGCACGAGTGCCATAGGTTCACCATCACGGGTCTAGGGAATGCATATTAGAACTCTTCAATAAACACCGAGGTGGAAAGCTTTTCTAAGAATGTTGCAAATTACGACTGTTAAAAACTTCAAGCACAGCTTTGTGTGATCTAATAAGGCTCCATTACTGAATCTGAGCTCAATTTTCATTATATTGCAGGATTATTGCTGGTGGGTCCTCACATTGTTAAGACGTTTATTGGGTGCTGTCATGGAAAAAATGGAATTATCATAGCTTGATACATCTTGTTGCTGCAGTTCATAGCAAGTTTGTGAATTCATTGTTTTGTGAATTCGTCTTGATGCTTGTGATCTTGGGCAGGTTGAAACTAGACTCCCACCGTAGAGATAAATAAAATCCATATTTTGGTTGATCTGCTGTTGATTTTCACAACTTTGCTAAATTGCTTTTAAAACCTATTTTACAGGGAACTCAAGGACCCCAAGGTATTCAGGGAGAGCGAGGATCAGAAGGAGAAGGGCTTCCAGGACCAAAGGTGCAATTTTTCTTTTTCTTTTTACAAATTGGCATTTCTACATCTGAATGTATAGAGAAAAAATAGGTTCTAATTTTGTCCTACAACTCATAAATAGTACAGAGATTTCTCTCAATGATACTGGGGGCAAGGGAGGAATTTGCTTTTCGCAAAGTCATTTTTTACAAGCCCTATCCACCCCCATAATCTGGGGTTGGTTCAGGAAACGGGACCAGGCTGCAAAAGAAGCCAAAAGGAAGCAATTTATTTAGCATAAAAAGCAATATCAATAATGTAATTATTAACACTTTTGGATTGCCACTGTTTTTTACATTCACTTCTACTAAGAAATTAGTATTAAAGAACAGAATATATTCCTGTTTCACCAGCTCTATGTTTTAGTCATAAGGCATATAAAAAGTCTATGCATCTTTAATTTCAAATGCTTCAAATCAAAATAATGATGATTTGGAAATAGAATATCAGCAATGATTGTCAATTAACTTCCTACTATGCTTCATTTGGAAATTGCACAGTGTTAATACAGCCAGATATCTACCTCCAGACGCAACATCCAAGTTGTCACTGGGAAAAACAGTGGGTTTTATTGGAATGAAAGGTATTCTACAAATAGTAAAGGCATGGTATTTATGGGGAGGAAACAGTGGAAAAAGAAAAGTACCAAGGCTGGTGAAACTGAAGTCTGGACATGATGGATGCCAGAAAGAGATAAGAGGGTAGTGGATTTTGGAATCCTGTATGCACTTTCAAGCAAGAATGATAGGAGCTACTTGCTCCTGTTTCCTGTTGGGATGATTAAACCCAATAGATGTAGTGTTCACCGTGTTGGCATCTGAGGAATCTGGGATTCCAGGCTGGGATTCCAGCATGGCAGCAACCAAAGAAGGAAAAGATCACCGACACTTGGGGAACAGACTGGCTTCTTTTTATGTTCTCAGTTGCCCAGAAATTAGTTCCTGGTGCCTCATTCAGCTCCAAGGAAATCTAGCTTGTCTTTATCCATTCTGTACAGTATCTCAGTCCACTCTACTCTCTTGGCTGCTTGATCTACTTTTCAATGTGGTTTCCCATTCTTTCCAAGGGATGATAAACCCACATTTTAAAATAGCTGTAAAAACAGCAATGCCGGAAAGAGGGCAGTGGTTGGAAGGCTAAATGACTTTTTAACTACCATCACTCCAACGGTCAGCTTTTTATTCTTTTAAATATTGATGTAGACTTCTAAATTTAAAAGAACTGCTTTAATGCTCTATGGGCTATTCTGAAATAACTCTTAACTGGGTTCCCTCTGAATGCATCTAAGAAAACAATTTTTTTGCAAAACCAGGACAAGTTTTGAATTAGCTGTCTGTCAATACTTGTTCCTCTCACAGCCTTATATGTGTAACAAGCCTTACTCTTGTTAGTAAGAGAGATTAGGGATGTTTTCTTGCCAACTAGTGATGTTTTGTAGAAAGGAAACAAAGTATGGAGTGTTTGACATGAAATTTGTAAGAACAGCATCACTCACCAACCTTGTTACTCAAGCAGATTAGAACTTGGCTGCCAGTCTGGCACAATTTATGTCCACCTATGTTTTTGCTGACCCAGGAAGAAAGCTAGGAGTTAGTCCATTTGGAAAAAGTAAAATCCTGCCCATCTAGCTATCTGTTTATCCATCATCTCACTTTTAATTGATACTTACCATATAATTTTGTTTTCTCCATTCAGGGAGACCGTGGTTTTGAAGGTCCAAAAGGACCTCGGGGCCAACCAGGCATTGGCATAAAAGGTGAAAAGGTAAGTACTAAATATGCCAAGGGATTGACTGCATCCAAATAAACTTGAATGCCCTGACTGATAGGCTCAAAAGGTGTAATGAAGCAAAATAAAGAGCTTGGTTTTTTTTCAGTGAATGTTGGACAGTGTTATAGTGAGCCGGTAGATTTATAGCCAATAAATCTATTTTAGCATTTTCTTCTAGTAAAGGGTAAATCGAAATGAAGCAGCTTTTATTCTGTGGGAAAGTTAAGTTGAAAAGAAAAAGAAAGAAAAATTGCACATGCCTTTCAACTCCCGAGAAACATACCTATTAACTCCACTTACCTTTACTACCGGTTCACAGCGGGAGCTTCTGAGCATGCGCAGATCACCCATGATGGTGTTGTGGCGGGTGGGCGGAGCCTCCCGCCGGTTTTACTACCAGTTCTATAGAACTGGATTGAACCGAGAGCAACCCACTACTGTATTAATTTTGGGTTAATTGTGTTTTAAAAAATAGAACGCCTGCCACTCATCTCTATTTGGATCATAATAAAATATAGTACATCTTATCTGTACTGATACTATGCAAATTGCTTGCAGTGAAGATTTCAGTTACTTGTAGGATAGCCCAAGAGTCTGCCTGCCTTAGTAACTAACCAAACTCTATTTATCAGGGCGAAATAGGTCCACCTGGTTTGCCTGGGCCTATTGGATTACCTGGAATTGGGATTCAAGGCGAGAAAGTAAGTTGGGTACAAGCCAAGGTTTTAAAACTGTTCATATGATCATCATAATGACTTCTATTCATTTCTATAAAGTCAATATAATTTATTTCCTAGGGGGTAGAAGGCCCCAAAGGACCACTAGGACCAAGAGGGCCACCTGGGCAGGGGTTACCTGGGCCAAAGGTGCGTAAGTTCGACCCTAACAGAAATATCTTGGCTAGATACTTTTAAATCAAATAATTTTAAATAGACCAATCTTCCTCTTCATGTTTTGAAAGAGCCCATCTATTTCCAAGTTTAAGCGAATTTCTATGATTTTTTTTTTAAAAAACATTATTTATCTAATGGGCTGCTATCCAGACTTTCCAGTCCAAAAGAGAAAGAGTGCTCAAGGCAGCCAACAGGAAAAGAAATGAAAAACAAAAGCAAACTGTGATGCCTCTTCTAAAGTCAGGAAGAATAGGAACCCATTTGGATTTCACTAGGAACATGTTGTGTAGCATGGGAAGGAAATGGGATGGGAAGCTCTAAAATCTGATATCTTGGGCCATGGAGTCCCTTTTTCCTAGTGTTGAAGGAATTAGCATCTGGCCTGGCTAACATCAAAGTTTCTAACTCTATTGCAAAACATGTTGTTTAAGGGTGATCAGGGTTTACCAGGAGAAACTGGAGCTCCAGGAGAAAGAGGCCTTGGAGAACCTGGTGCAAAGGTACAGTAGTCCTTAAAATGTTGAACATTTAAAATGTGGATAATGATACTTATCTCAGGGATAAGTATCACCAACATGCTGATGATACTGAATTATACATCTCTGCCTCTAGTCTCTCAAGTGATGCCATTGAGATTCTTTCTCAGTATCTGGAGGTTGTAACGGTCTAGGCAAGGAGGAACTGGTTCTGATTGAAGACTGAATAACTGTGGGGTTTTAGGTCTGCAGAGTTGTCATTGTTAAGTATAGGTGAGGTACCTACACTCCCCCTATCAGACTTCATGTGCACTTTGGAGATCTTCCTGAGATTGTGGTTCTGCTTAAGGAACTGAGGGCACCTGCGGCCAAAAGGACTTTGCAGGAATCTATCTTGAGCACCAGTTGCATCTTTTCCTGGATCGGAGGAGTCTGCTCATAGTCACACATCCCTTTGTTACTTCCCATTTGAATCATTGCATGGGTCTGCCCATGAAGAACTTTTGGAAACTGAGCCTGGTTCAGAAAGAGGTGACATAATTGGTTTGCACACATGATGTGAGCTGCACTGGCTTCCAATAGGTTTCCAAGCACAATTCAAATGCTGATTATAATCCATAAAGCCCTATATGGTGTAGGGCCAAGATTCTTAAGCACCCACCCAGCACTTGTAATAATGTCTGTGCTTCCCACCAGATCCAGCAGAGGGGCATGTTCCAGGTTGCTTCTATGAATCAATGTCATCCTATGGAAATTAGGACTTTTTCAGTTAGAGCAACTGCCTGTGGAACACATTCCCCGCCCTCCTCACTTCTTCTTGGCTTTTTGGAAGGCCATAAAAACCTGGGTGTTGCTTCAGACTTTAGGATCAGGATATTTGTGGAGTCTGGTTTGTGTTTTTGCTGTCTGCTGATGGAAGTGTTTATTATTGCCTGGCATCTTTTACCCCCTTGTTTTTATATTTATGTTTCTATTTTTACACTTATTAGCCCCCCAGAGTTATTTAATTAGGTTATTCTATAGTTATCTAATTAGTCTGAACAGCCATTTAGATTTATATAAGTTAAGTAAATAAAGAAAACCTTAGAATACATTATGTATCTGACCAGAGAATGCATACAATTGGGAAATCCAGATATCTGTCTCAATCCAAAAATATACACACTTGGAAGGAGGTAGTCTGCGCAGCATTGTGTCTATACAGCTAAGAGCAGAGAGAAGCTGGCTCTCGGCTATTCAATTCCAGGTCCGTGCAGCTCTACAAAAGACCAGCAGCCAAAGATGGTTTGCAAGGCTTTAATCACCAAACACAGCCAAATCACAGTACAAGTCGAGTAATAGGTTCAAAGTCAGCGCTGAGAGCAGTCGCTTCTCAGCACTATTTATCCATTATTTCCTGTTTAAGCCATCATCCGGCAGCTAAAGCCACCACCCCCATCAGCTGTTCGTCGGTTCTTTGTATTTCCCGCCCTCTGCGTGTCTCCGGTAGGGAAGATCTCAAACGATGATCACATGATCACAAGACATTGCAATTGGTCATAAGGGCAAGCTGGTTGTCAAGGGCCTAGGTCATGATCATGTGACCACAGGAGTGCTGGAATGGCCACTTGAGGCCTGGTCATAACTAGTGTTCAATACTGTCATAACTTTGAATGGTCACTAAATGAGTGTTCATAAGGCGAGGACCACTTATAATCTTTTGCATGCATTTCCCAGCCTGTCTGCTTTTCAGTTCTGCATTAAATAAAATCCAGGCTGTCCTGTTTCTTTTAACAACTTTTCCCTTTCTCCCTTACAACAGGGGGAACCAGGTACTTCAGGTTTGGCAGGTTTACCTGGGCTTCCAGGAGAAGATGGTGCACCAGGACAAAAGGTTTGCTTGCTATTTTTTAAAATAGGCAGAAAGTGCCTTTCCATAAGAAATAAAACAATAAAGTATAATGTATAAAATAATGCATTCATGATTGTCTTAAGGCAAGTACCAGTACTAATGCAATATATTTGTGTTGTTGAAGCTGACTTCAGTGGCATTATACATAAATGGGCTACATAATTATCTGACGCATCCATCTGGATTTGAAGACAAATAGGTGTTTGAGTGTATGCAGGACATTTAAAGAGTACCTGTATTTGTCTACAACTCTTTAAAACAGCTGCATCTTTTTCTCAGTCCTTTGAGGTAGACTGAATCAGGAAATGGATTCCAGAAGAATGTGGAAATCTACTGATACAAACAAACTACTGTCACAGAATCTGGAAAACGTTATTATTTTCTCTTCCATCCCTCTTATATCCCAGGGAGATACGTCTGAGTCAATGGGAGTTTCTTTCTAGTGTTTTCTTCATATCATGGACTTAAAACATATTTTTGTAACTGTCATCGCATACTTTCTCCAAGATTTATCTCTGGTTCACCACATTTTTCTGGAATTAGACAGTTGTGTCTGCAGCTCAACTGCAAAGGAGAAAGCACATTTAGTTTAAGGAATTGCAAGTAGGTGCTTGTGTGCTCCTACATATCTACATCTTCCTGATGAAAATGGGCTCTGATAAATAGGTAATATTTCTATTTCTATGTGGTCTATTCTAATCACATAGTTGTCTACCGTGTTTCCCCGAAAATAAGACCCTGTCTTATATTTTTTTGAACCCTGAAATAAGCGCTTGGCCTTATTGCCATGCGCTCAAAAGCCCGAATGGGCTTATTATCAGGGGATGTCTTATTTTGGGGGAAACAGTATTCTAACCATCAATTTGCCAAAATCACTATAGTTAAATGTATGTTGCAACATCATGACATTAGCTGCACCCTTTATACTAGCATTGTTGGGTTGCACACAATAAGTAACAGGTAGGCTTTGCATTGAAATTTGTGTTTCCTCGTTTGTCTTTGCCTTGCCTCCCCTGTGCTAAGTAAGTCAACATATAGTAAAAAATAATATAGATCTCTATGTCATATTGCTCAGTCTACTATATATAAGATTTACTGCTTGCACAATCCTCCCCATGCATCATCTTGTCGTAATTCTTGCGCTTGCTTTATACGGAAGATTAAGCAATAAAACTCAGAGATTATAGAAGTGGTCTGAGACTGGTGGTATTCCTTTTTAGAGAACTAAAAGTCAAAAGACATGATTAGCTAATCCATCTTTCTTTCATATGTTAAAAAAAAATGGAATAAATGGTGGGGAAACACAGGAAGGTTGCAAGTAGAAGATGATATATGGGCTCCATCGAATTCTTTAAAGAATACATGGTAGTGGGAAATAAAAAGTGCTTGATTAAAAACATTGTGTGTTTTGACCCAGGCCCAAGTAGGTAGTAAAAGACGCCAACAGTTCCAAAATAAACAAACTTTATTAGAACAGCTAACAATTAACTCATTCTCAGCATAGTCCAAACTAAATCAAAACAAAGTCTTCATAAAATTCTTATCACCTAACCTTGGTATAATTAGGCAAACTGCCAAAGGCTTCTCTTGGCAAAAGTTCAGAAGTAGAAAACGCCGAGCAAGATAAGAAACAAGTCTCTCAACGTTGTTTTCCGACAAAGAGGCCAAGAGCCGTTGCTGGTCTTTTAAGACTTATGGGAGGGGCCAATCATCTCTTGGCCTACTCCCGAGTCGTCCTCACTGCTTTAGCCGCTCTGCCTTCTGGCAGCTCTTCTCATAGGTGCACTAGGAACAGGCTGCTCCTGTTCCTCTGCTTCTCTACTGTCAGCCTCTGGAGGCTCCGGAGTCAGCACATCACTCCTCGATGGCCCTGGCCCCATCTCTGCCTCTGACGCAGAGTCCTCATCCGGGCCTTCCCCAGCCTCCAGGACTGGCCCATGTTCTTCCTCATCACTGTCTGACTCAGCTGCCAGTTCCGCAGGCTGCATGCGGACCACAACATTGTAAGATTGCACATATGTGCCTTTTCTCGAAGACATACTGTATTGTAGGATGCCATCCAGGGACTTCCATATTCACAGAGACATAATCTCTTAATACCTATGCTGCACCAAAATATTTAATGCTCATATACTATGCTGTATTACAGGGAGAACCAGGTTTACCTGGCCCACGTGGTCCAGAAGGTGCTCCTGGAATTGGAATTCAGGGTGAAAAGGCAAGGAATTTTATGTTCATTGTTTCTGGAATGATCATGCCAAAATAAATAAAATACGTTTCCATTATTAGAGGTATGAAAAGCTTTTTGGAAAATGGCTTTTATCAACCTTTTTTTTTTTTGGTTTAGAAATTCAGTGCCAGATGTTGAGAACGTCCTTTCTTCTCTTCATTTCCTTCCTTAACTCAGATTTTCCCAGTCCTTTAGACCCAATGTTAAAGATGCATTGATGCAAGAAAGAATTGTCTACTTCTAATTGTACTGACCAAAGTAAAATGTCTGTCTTTAGGTACAAATATATACTGAATTTTCCAATGTCCCTTGCATTTGCATTTATTTATTTATTTATTTTGCTTTCTTCAAGAAAGTTAAAGCATGTGTTGTCTGAATGCTTTCTAAAACTTTTCCTAGGGCGATCAAGGTCAAAGAGGAATACGTGGTTTATCTGGACCAACCGGAGTCCCTGGGCCTGCTGGAGCTAAAGTATCACATTATTTTTGTTCTTATTATGATAGTTAGTCTCTCAGCAAACTTTGTGACTAAGACTTCACCAGATATGGTCAAACTAGCCATGATGTATACCATATACTGTAGCTTGCCATCACATTGCTTGTTTATTTAATTGATTTATATAGCTGCCTATCTTACATACGTGAGACTAAGCGGCTTATAATAAAAATAATCAGCATCAAAAGGCACTCCACCTACATTGGAAGTCCCTTCCTCCATGCTCATCCTGATCTGGTTTGCCAAATGAATAACCTACTTCAGAGCAGTTTTGTTAAGTTTGGTACATCAGTTTAGGATAATCAGAATTTTAATATTAACTCATTTGGTGGAAGGTGAATTTAGGAAGCCTTTGTTAAAGATTTAGGCAAAAGGACAGAGAAACTAATCTGTGATTAGAATTGGTTCTCCTTTTTAAAATGTGTCCATAAAGTTTTAGTAACATAGGGAATGTATCTGATTTTTTTTTCAGATATAAAATGGGAAGTTATTTTTAAAACATTTAAAAATTGCAATAATCTATGTACAACCACAGACTCCAACTTTTTAACATAGGGGAAAGGTTTACTCCCGATATCAAGAAATATAAGTTTACTAAATTCACTATGTGAGTGTTTTTCAACCTCAAGAACTTTATCAAGTTTAGACTTCAACCCCCAAAATTCTCCAATCAGAATTTCTGGAGAATTCTGGGAGTTGAAATTCACACTTTGTAAAGTTCCCCGAGGTTGAGAAATACTGCACTAAGTAATACTCCTTTGAAAACTTTGTTTTCTTTCTTATGGCAGGGTGAACCTGGTTCCCCAGGACGTCTGGGAATGCCAGGGCTTCCAGGACGTGCCATTACAGGACCCAAGGTAACAAATGTATTCTTTAAAAAAAACTTCCAGTGTTGGAGCATTCACAACTTCTGGAGGCAAATTGTTCCACTGATTAACTGTTCTGTCAGGAAATTTCTCCTTAGTTCTAAGATGCTTCTCTCCTTGATTAGTTTCCACCCATTGTTTCTTGTTCTGCCCTCAGGTGCTTTGGAGAATAGATTGACTCCCTCTTCTTTGTGGTAGCCCCTGAGATATTTGATATTCATTAATTTTACAATATCTGGTACACTTGCATGGACATTTCCTAAGCATTCTAATCAGAGGTAGGATTCATTTACCTCCCTACCGGTTCGCAAATGTGCATGGCCACCTCTACACATGCACACGGCCTTCTGCGCATTCGCAGTAGTCGCACATTATGTCCAGAGGGGTGGGCGGAGCCTCCCGTAGTTGCCGCTACTGGTTTGCGCGATCTGGAGAGAACCGGCTGAATCCCACCACTGATTCTAATGAACAAAAAATGGCCTAGATGAGTATATGCAGGGCTGTTCTCTTTAATTCTTCCTATAGTTTTTATTGTAAAACAGAGACAGGGAACAAATTCACCAGCTGGATCCAGTTTCCTTCTTTTCTGGCAGATTAGACAGTATCAAAAAATGAAACTTAAGAAAAGGAAGCTGAACCAAAAGTAATTTTTCTTACAGTATCTCCTTTAACTGGATGTATTGAAATGAAAGGGATAGGGTTGGTAGAATTTCAGAACTGAATAATTTCCATCTTAGAACCAAATTATAATTCACTATACAGGTAGTCCTTGAGTTATGATCGTAATGGAGCCTGCCCATTACAATAATAAATTTTATCGGTAGTAAAACAGGTCACTCACATGATCAACCCAATTCTATAAAACTTTTTGCAGTGGTCATTAAGCAGATGTGGTCATAAAACAACTGCTGCAGTTCTCAGGCAACCACTGCAGTCATAAAGCAAACCCATTATTCATTATGCGCTGGTTTTCAGCAAAATTGTCATAAAAGGTGACCATGGAATGCTACAAATGGCCGTAAATGTGGCCATGTTACCAAATATCCAAAGTACAGTCAAGTGACTGGGGGGTGGGGGTGGGGAGAGTGTTGGAACTTTGAATCCACATCATAAGCCCCCTTTTTCAGGTAGATCATAACTCTAAATGCTCACTAAGTGACCAATTATAAATCGAGAACTACCTGTATTAGGCCAGAGACTCCTTTGGGTTCTAAGAACTTTCTTATGAATTAGCAAGGAGGTGGTTCTTTTACAAAACCATCCCATGTTTTTATCACTCTATTAAGTCAGGGGTGGGTTCCACTTACCTTCGCTACTGGTTCGCTCTTGTGAATGCACACGCGCTTTGCGCACGCACTTCGCTTCTGCACATGTGGAGACCCTTCTGCGCATGTGCAGAGCATTTTTGATGACATCTGGGCGGGTGGGCGGAGCCTCCTGCTGCCGCCACTACAGGTTCACCCAAACCAGGGCAAACTGGGAGCAACCCACCACTGTATTAAGTGCCCACCTCAGCGTAAGCATGTCCAGTGCATTCTACAGGAAGAATTCCCTCCTATACTGTGAAAAGCACTCAGTGTAGGACAAAGCAGAAAAACACGGAGCAGTTTTATCTACTATTCATTTTGCTCAAAGGAGAAAAGAATGGCCTCCCTTGAGCTACTATTGCCAGATGAGCCAGCCTGTGAGCCAGATTAGGACTATAAATTTGAGGTCCTAATAGTGTCTGTTCTTGTGCTTCCTGATGAGGCTGGAAAAAGTTGATGTTCTAGTCCAAGCAGTGGTGGGTTGCTCCCAGTTCGCACAGGTTTGCAAGAACCGGTAGTAAACATTTGTAGTAGTTCGGAGAACCGGTAATAACATTGGCTGGCCACGCCCCCGAACCGGTCCCCGGTCTGGCTGCCGCTCGCTTACCCCGTCTACCTCATCAGAGGCTTTTTTTTTTTTAACTTTTAAAAGCATTTTTTCTACCAGCTCTTCGGCTGAAAAAATGATTTTAAAAGTAAAAAAAAAAAGCCTCTGATGATTGCGCGGCTCAGCTGGGATCATCAGAGGCTTTTAAAAGCATTTTTTCTACATACAACCTCTTCAGTTGAAGAGGTTGTAGGGGAAAAAATGCCTTTAAAAGCCTCTGGCGATCCCAGCTGAGTTGCCTGATTGTCAGAGGTTTTTAAAAGCATTTTTTTCTGCAACCTCTTAACGTTGCAGAAAAAATGCTTTTAAAAGTTAAAAAAAAAAAAGTTGGCCATGCCCACCCAGTCACATTACCCCCCCACCAAGCCACGCCCACAAAATAAGCCACGCCCACAGAACTGGTAGTAAAAAAAATTGGACCCCTGAGTCCAAGATTGGGGGGACCAAGTGACTTTGAACCAATCATTTTCTCTCATTCTAACTGACTCTCGGGGTTATAATTATGAAGAAAATAGGAGGAAGTAATACTAGCTTGGATGCCTTAAACTCTTGTCACAAAAGGTTTGTCAAAAATCCAATAGATAGATGGAACAACAATAGCAACAACAAAATCACTGTTTTCCTTGTAATTGAAGGGTGATATTGGATTACCTGGACCATCTGGACCAATTGGAGAGCAAGGGATAGGGATTCCTGGGGCTAAGGTAACAACCATATTGGTAAATCAGTTCCTTTAAAGGAGAAGTATTTTATGGAGTGTAACTGCAGCTATAATAACATGTAAATATGTCCCTTTTTTTGCAAAAAGGGTGATCGTGGACACCCAGGACCTCCTGGTCCATTTGGCCCCAAAGGAGATGGCTATCCAGGCCTACCTGTAAGTAGCCAACATTTGCTGTTACTTAAAAAGAATGTTGAACAGTGAATCACAGTAAGAAAGAGTAGGAACTGTATGCAATTCAGAACCATTAACAGTTAAATCTATTTACTTCCCTACACCAGGGTCTTCCTGGTCTTCCTGGAGCTCCTGGAGAGCCAGGCCCTGATGGGATTGGATTACCTGGACCAAAGGTGCACTTTATATAGTGTGATTATGTGTATATATTAGATAATAGATAAATTACATAAGATAAATTGTATGTACAAAGTGTACATAAGATAAAGTGTACATAAGATAAAAAGAGAGAGGAGAGAGAGAGAGAGAGAGAGAGAATATATTAGGTTTATTGTTATATAAAGTAAACAGCTGAGGCTGTATGCTATTACCTTATTTTACTGCGCCAAAGTGAATAGGAAGTCAATGCTTGTTTTTTCTTTTACTGTTTACCCTAAACTTTTTCTTCTTTCCTTGCTATAGTTTAGCATAATGCACAAATTGAACCATAGATTCAAAACACATATCTACTTTGTCTTGCTATATCCTTTGCCTGTTTTGAGAAAAAGTCTATGAATTGTACCTCACAAATAAATTTGTATGGTTAATACATTGCATCTACATCTGTTTACTATTCAAATAATCAAATAATATCTGCCTATCCCACGTCCTTTGGAGGGACTTGATAGAAGGATAAAATGCCAAACCTAGTCTAAACATTTGGCCAAGTGGGTAACCAACTATAATAATAATTATATTATATGAACCATGGTGGCACAGTGGCTAGAGTGCAGTACTGCAGCCTACTTCTGCTGACTGCCGGCTGCCTGTAATTTGGCAGGTCGAATCTCACCAGGCTCAAATTGACTCAGCCTTCCATCCTTCCAAGGTCGGTAAAATGAGGACCCAGATTGTTGGGGGAAATATGCTGACTCTGTAAATAGCATAGAGAGGGCTGTGAAGCACTGTAAAGCAGTATATAAGTCTAAGTGATATTGCTATATCTTGCGACAATATCTTTAATGCCATCAAACAATATCTGCCTTTTCCAGGTCCTTGGAAAGGACTTGATGGATAGATAAAAATGCCAAATCCAGTCTAATATCTGACTAACTATGCAACCAACAATACTAATTTGAAATGTTTACAAATATACATTTTAGGGTGATCCAGGTACAAGAGGACCAACTGGTCTCCCAGGTGCAACAGGAGAAGGCCTTCCAGGACCAAAAGTAAGTCACAATCAGAATTTGTTTTGGACCATCAAACATCGAAAATAATTATTATCTTCTCTATTGTGTCTAGTTAGTTTACTATTCATATTAATGTAAGAGAAACTAATGTCATAACTAATATTTTGTGAATGAAAAGACAAGAAAATGAAAACTTAGCAAAATGCAATTCAAATAATAATAAAGATATATTGAAAGAAATATAAAAGCTTACCATTCTTGTTGCAGGACTCGTTGAAATGTTACTTTTAGATTTATTTTTATTTATTTATTTAGCAAATTTATATAGCTCTCAACTCACACATGGGTGAATCTAGGTATCTGGAAAAATTTAAAAAAACATAGATAATTTCAGAAATCATAGTTTGCTCCTGGGAAGTATTTTGAGGTAAAATATAAAGAAAATAAAGATTAAGGTAGAGATTTTTTAAAAGGGACCTGGTGGCTCAGTGGTTAAGACCAGGGGTGAAATGCTACCAATTCGTGCCAGTTTGGGCGAACTGGTAGCGGCAACGGCAGGTGGTTTGGAGAACCAGTAGCAGCGCCAGCATGAGGCTCCACCCACCTGCCCGTACATCATTACTTCCTGGCTTTAACCAGGAAGTGACCTGTTTTGACCCTCCGTGCATGCACAGAAGGCTTTGCACATGCGCAGAGGGTCCAAAATCACATGTGACGCGCAGGCACACTTCCAAACCAGTAGGGAAGGTAAGTAGATTTCACCCCTGGTTAAGATGCCGAGCTTGTCGATCAGAAGGTCGGCAGTTCAGCGGTTTGAATCCCTAGCGCCGCATAACAGGATGAGCTCCCATTACTTGTCCCAGCTTCTGCCAAACTAGAAGTTCGAAAGCACTAAAAAATGTAAGTAGAAAAATAGGGACCACTTTGGTGGGAAGGTAACAGCGCTCCATGCGCCTTCAGTGTTTCGTCATGCCGGCCACATGACCATGGAGATGTCTTCGGACAGTGCTGGCTCTTCGGCTTAGAAATGGAGATGAGCATTGCCCCTAGAGCAGAAAACAACTAGCACGCATGTGCAGGAGAATCTTTACCTTTATATCAGATTTTTGCAACTTCTCAACTTCTTCACTAAGATACAAGTCATTCAACTTAGTTGCTTTAATGGAGCCACCACTTATGGGAACAAGCTGGTCATTTTGCTATGACTGCGGTCAGACTGTCCTTTTGCCTTAGAAATCTTTCTTGGGCCACCTGTTACTAGGCTGGCTGTAGCAAGTAGGAATGCCACTATAATTAATAATAATTATTGATATGTCACTTTAAAAAATGCAGGTCTAATGAATTATGCACAAACTACTTCTAGTTGGAACAATCTAGAATAAAAAGGTAAAATATTCCTTGAATCGTATTTGACCCCTGGTGGCTTCACAGATACATCTATGTTGTATTCTAGGCAGCCCATATAAAGGTGGTACTGTATGTTACTGTCATCTTCTTGGATGTTTCTTAGACTTTTTGATATAGTCTACTCTTTATAGTCTACTCTATAGTCTATATAAATAGAACTGTCCTTTAAGGCAGCCATGTTTATTTGAAAAAAAAAGCAGCCCTAACAAATAAAATCAAGAGATACTTCTAGCATAACTACAGTTAGAGTTAAATTGTTAGAGATATACAGATTGCAAACAGGAGAAATTTCAAGAAGCTTCGTGGTTCTTATACAGATTTTAGATAGCAGCAAAATGAAATATGGTGGCATGTATGATATCGTTAATGATGGCTATACTTTTTTCCCTTAGGGAAATATTGGACGACAAGGGCCTCCTGGTGCTTTAGGCCCACCTGGTGAAGGTATACAAGGACCAAAGGTATCATGATTTCTTGGACACTTAGATATAACATAGTTGGAAAAGCAGACTTCACAAACTAGAAATATATATTTTCAGTCAAATTTAGAAAATAAGATTGTATTTAATATACAATAAAATTGTCAACTGTTCTGTCAATTAATTATAATTAGGGTGAACAGGGAATTCAAGGAATGCCAGGACCACGTGGGCCTCCTGGAGAAGGACTTCTTGGACCAAAGGTATGTGCTATAATTTTACACAAACATCCAGTTTAACTCTGTAGATACGGACTCTGTGTTATCAACATGGACATTTAATGCTCCCAAGCAACCTCTCAGAGAACCTTCCAAGAGATGAAAAAATATTTTTATTTATTTAATATTTATTTATTTATCGAATTTTAAAATTGCCCATTTCCCTCACAGAGAGAAATAAAATAAAATATTATTTGTACAAATAAATATGTACAAATAAAATATTAAAATATTCTCTGTGGGGGCTCCCACCCTCTGGAATCAGTTGCCCCCGGAGATAAGGAGAATCCATGACCTCAATGCCTTCCGTCGTTCCCTGAAAACCCATCTTTTCCAGCAAGCCGGGTTGGCTTAAGAAGAAATTTTTAAATTCTTTTAATTAGTTTATGATTTTTTTTAACTTTTGGGCCAAAATTTATATATATTTTTAAATGTTTTAATATTTGTATTCTATGTTTTTTATCTTGGCTGAACACCGCCCTGAGTCCTCAGGGAGAAGGGCGGTATATAAATTGGAAATTAAATTAAATTAAATTAAAACATAAAAGCAATATTTAAAAGTTTAAATAAAAAAAAGGTAAGGATGATTAAAAACTAATGTTAAAAGTTAACAAAAAGACTGAAAACAATGCAATTTGATCTTACTGCACTAGCAGATTATCATTTGACAGCATAGTTCAGGCTAGATGATTGCTGACTGGGAACAATGAGGAATCTGCTACGTTTTTCTAAGGCAATTATTATTATATTTTCTAATTACTTGTAACATTCCTCTAAAGAAAACAGTACGTTTATAATTTGATGGACCTGGACCATTTGTTTACTTGATTGCTGAATGTAATTCCTAAACTGCCTTTTTTTTTTTTTTCCTTTCTTTCTGTTCTGTTCAATTGTGTCCGATTATCAGAGATTGCCTGGACGAATCTCTGCAATTTTCTTGGCAAGGTTTTTCAGAAGTAGTTTGTTGTCTCCACCCTAATGCTGAGAGAAAGTGACCATCCCAAGGTCATCTAGCTGGCTTCATGCCTAGGGGGGAGTAGAATTACAGTTTCCCAGTTTTTAGCCTGATGTCTTAACAATTATGCCAAATTGACTCTCAATGCATCTTGCCCATATAATAAACATTTTCCTGCAAATTCTCCTCTGCCTACCAATAACTGTGGCAATAAATACTTAGGCATTTAGAATGGGAAATTGTAAGCCAAGGATAGGCTTCCTAATGCCCATGATTACCAATATAACTCCAAATATTTCCCTTGGTGTTCACCTCATCTGACCTTGAAAAATAATAACTAAGATGGCAAAATATTAGCCTCAAACATCCTATTGATTGAGGATAAGCATTATTACAAAGAAAGAAAGAAAGAAAAAGATGGGCAGCTGCAATACCAAACAACTTGGACGTGAACTCATCTGACCAGAAAAAGGCAAAAGGATATCACAAGGTAATCCTTGGCTAATGACCACTCATTCAGTGACATTCAAAGTTACAATGGCACTGAGCAAGTGTAGTTATGACTGGTTCTCAAAGTTCCTACTGTTCCAGAAGCCCCTGTGGTCATGTGATTGCCATCAGAATTCTCGGCAATCGGTTCACACCTAGGATGGTTGCAGCATCTCATGGTCACATGACAGGAATTTACCTTACATTTAAATAAGATGCTTTACCGATGTTGTGTAACAAATTCAAAGGGTGATCGTGGAACTGCAGGAGAAAGAGGAAGAAAAGGCGAAAAGGGCAATATGGGAGACCCTGGAACAGCAGGAGAACCCGTAAGTACATAAACCCCGTCCGTCAGATGCTGCAGAGCATGTTGCCAAAACGCTGCAGGTGCATACATCTTAAGTATCAGCATTAGTTTCAAGCAAATAATTTAGCTTACAGAATAGGTACTGACCCTTCTTTTAAGGGTCCAGAACAATTCTTAAGAAGAATGCAGGAAATCCTCGATTTACAATCATTCATTTAGCAACCATGTGAAGTTACAAAGGCATTGAGAAAGTGACTGGCAGACAGTACTCACACTTATACCATGACTATCACAGCATGGTAAAGCGATCCAAATTTGGGCATTTGGCAATCAGCATACATCCCAGGTCAATGCAACCTTCCCAGCCAGCCTCTGACAAGTGTAGTCAATGGGGACAGTTGGATTTGCATATTGACCGTGTCATTCACTTAACAACTGAAATGTTTTGCTTAACAACCATGGAAAAAGGTCATAAAACTGAGTGCAACTAACAGCCACCTTGCTTAGCAATGGAAATTCTGGTCCCAATTGTGGTGATAATTCAAGGTCTACCTATAATTTGAGTAGATTAACTTTCTGGTTGATAGTTCCATCTGGAAAAATCGGGTTGAACTATCTGTGATGAGTAGAATAACAGAATTCAAAACCAGAAGCACAATTATACATTCCTAATATTTCAAATAAAATTATAATAGATAATTGTTGCTTTCTGAACATGTTATCAGTGGGCTCTTTGGTGCTTTCTGAACTTGATTGTTTTCTTGCAGACATTTCAAGCTGGGCAATGCTCATTGCATCAATGCTAGAAAGGACTAGGGTTTACTCTCTTTTTATATACTAGTGACTTGCCCTTGGTGGTTCCTTGATTAGGCTGTTGTATACTCTTAGCTTGTTTGTCTGAGTTGGTAGTTCCTTGATTGGGGTATCATTTATTTCTTGATTCATGGTCTAGTGTTAATCTCTGCTTACCTGGGTGTTGATTGCTGGTGAGGAGATATTTCAGCCTTTTTGTTTCTTTGTTTCTTTTTTAAGAAACAAAGATTGGATTGTCTCTTGAATTGTATACATATGTTGTTTATCTCTATGTTCTTGTTAATGGCTAATTTGACTAAGTGCCAGTCTTCCATGAATTATTTAGCATTTTTGGATTTGGCTTGGTCTAGAATGCTCACAGTTTCCCAGTTGAAACTATGGTTCAGTCTCTCCATGTGTTGTGAAATTAAGGAGTTTTCATCCCACTGATGATGTAACCAGTTTGGCAGGGGTGGGTTCTAAAATTTTTTACTGCCGGTTCTGAGGGCATGGCTTATTTTGTGGGCGTGGCTTGATGGTGATGTGACAATTCTTTAGGATTCAGCAGAGGTACTGGTCTACCAGGCTTTTAACTGCTTGCAGAGTTGTACCGGTCTACCCATTTGTTTTTGGAGGCACCGGTCTACCCATTTGTTTTTGGAGGCACCGGTCTACTCAGTTGTTTTGGGAGGCACTGGTCTACCACCACACTGCCTTTTAACACTGATCAGCTGTAGGGCGGCCCTTTGAAGCCCCGCAGCAAGAGTTTAAACAGCTTTTTCCTTCTAGCCGATCAGCTGGGACTCAGGAGGCAGCAATAGACTGGGGGTGGGGCCAAATAAGAGGTAAGAATAACGCGGGGGGGGGGGGGGGGGGGGGGGGGGGAGGGGGGGGCGGGGGCAGAACCAGTTCGGTGATGTCATATCGTCATCGCTACCAGCTTGGCAGAACCGGGCCGAACCGGGTGGAACCCACCACTGTAGTTTGGTAATGAAATGTCTGCAAGAAAACAACCAATCTTAGAGAGTACCAAGGACCCCACAGCTGAATCCTGAGCTACAAATATTCTCTTCTATCAGAAACAATTCATCTTATGTCAACATATATTGCCAGACTGCATTTTGCAGTCATGGGATTGCTTCCACCAAAAGTAATAGAATTACTCTCTTTAGGAGGCCATTGTAAGGAGGTTCTAAATTTGACACTTATGAACAAGGAATGGGAGAAACTTTTTCATCAGTAAAGTAGCTGGCAATATTTGACAACCCCTTTGTCTAGGTTGGAGACATAGCAAATATCTTTGGGGACTCTCCAATCTTTCCCAAGGATAACCTCTGGCCCTCACTCTTCCTAATCCAATCGCCCCTTGGAAGAAACTAGTTATAGAAGATGGCAGGCAGGCTCGGGAGGAAATTCTCCCTATCTCCAACAGAAAGAGTAGGAGCAGGTGATCCTGTTTTCATAGGATGGTTGGCCAGGTTCCTATGATTATATGTGCACTGATTTAGATTGCTTTCTATATCATCAAACCTTAATGATGAATTAGAAATAATAATAAAATAAATTGCCTTTTCAGGGTAAAACTGGACCCAAAGGAGTACAAGGTCTAACAGTAAGCAATCTTTTTCAGAATCAAGTTTAGTTGTGCTGTGTTGTTCTCTATTAATGTGTCCCTAATAATAATTACGAAAGTGTGGGAAATGAATTATTAATTGCTTAAAGTATATATAAAATGGATACCAGTGCATGATGTCTAAATTGTTTTAAAATGTACCTGTAATTTCCTTTCAAGTGGAAGAAAAAGAGCACAGAAGATATCCCTCTGCCTTTTAAAGACTGTTTCAGTGATTAATTCCCAATGATTTATTCTATGGTTTCTGAGCACAACAGTTTTTCTAAAATTTAATATGTCTGTCTATAAAGGTTTCACGTGATAAAATATCTAAGAAAATCAAATTATCTCAGTAATAAGAGGCATCAAATAAATGAAATAAAGTAAAAAATTATACTGTAAATGTAATCTTCCTTCCTTCCCGCCTTTCTTCCTTCTTTCCTCCCTCCCTCCCTTTCTCCTCTACAACTAGTGGGCCAACACCAAACTGTGCATATGTAGGTATATGTAATATGTATGTATGAACATGCATGCACAAACAGAAATGGGTCTGTTTGCCAAAGTAAAATGAATTGATTAGAATGCATGTTTCCTAGACCTTTAGGTGTAATGGCACTGGTTATGCTGGAGCTCCTCAGAAAGTTAAATGGAGTTTCAGTGTGCTCCACTCTGACTTAGGGAAAGGGATATTAGTTGCTTGGATTAATTTGTTCTCAATGTCCATTACCAGCTAGATGATGCTCTGCCTGGAAATGAATGAAAAATTGTCTATGGTAGTAATTATGCATATATATCAATCTGTTTACAAGTTACAAATTACAGCAGCTGGCAGTTTGTAGCCAACCTCGGCTACAAGACAGACAGAGAATTGGCTTTCCCCACCCAGTAATAATCCTCCATACTTGATCCAAATGTTCACAGTGGCATACCTGGAGAACTGAAGTAAAATATTTTTTGTATATTTTACAAAATATTGTAAAATAATTGTTGGCAAAATGCAAGATCAGAGATTTTCTCACACAGAAATATTTTATTTGAGGAATTTTAAGATGTTGGAATTATATTGTTCTATATAAAGAACAATGTTATATGTCTAATCGTACTTTGCAAGTATTTTAAGTATTGGTGATGAATAAGATGACTTTCAGTGCATGAAAATATGAGATTCTTGTAAGTATAATAAACACTATTTTTATGTATTTTTTTCCAAAGGCCATATTATAAATTGCTGAAAATGAAACAGTTCTATAATACTATATGTGTATTTCTTTTCTAACATAGAGAGAAGATATAATTAAGTTAATTAAAGAGATATGTGGTAAGTTTGCAATCTGTCTTGCCATCATATCCTAGGGCAGGTTCTTATTCTTTTCCCCAAATTGGAAAATTATTAGAATACTCTTTACTCAAAGATAAAATGAAAATGCCAACAATCAGGTTACTCCTGTGGAATCCGAAAAGCACTGAAGACTTGGGTTTTTCCCCAAGCAAAGGGGTAGGGAAGGGTGGGTGAAAGGATTTAATGTGGGACTGTATGTGTGATGGAATGTGTCTATGAAGGGAGAGGTGGAATGATGGACTACAGTGAAGCTGCAGTTTCTGAGAAACACGGGAGCACATTCCAAGGAGGGGGATAAAACAAGGGGCAGCCCAGCCCAGAGCTAGATAAGAGACAGAGGGAGAGAGTCCAAATATCCATTCCCTAGAATCTCCCAGGGTAGATCCATTAGAGTGAGAGTGGTAAAGCTTTAGTCTGGCAAGATACTGTCTATTGAGAGTAAACAAAGAATTGAACATTGGTGTTGTTATATGTTGTTCTCTGGCTGGGGCCAATGGTATGTTGGAAGTTAAACTGGGTTTTTAACTGGGTGCCAGGTTTTTAATATTTATTGTTTCAATAGATTTAATATAGTACTATATTGTTTTATTATTGATACTGTTTTAATTGTTGATTGAGAGCCACCCAGGTTTCAAACTCAGAAGGAGGCTATATAAATGTTTTGAATAAATAAAAGAAAAATAATGTTTGAATTAAAATTGTAATAATGCTCATGTTCAGCGCACATGGAAAGACATATAGTTTGATCTTTCAGTAAAAAATATTCAGAATTTAGTTTTTTTTTTTTTTCAAATTTCCTTTTACAGGTTGTGGCATTAAATGCAAGGAAATACCTATGGAGCTAGTGTTTGTGATTGACAGTTCTGAAAGTGTTGGCCCAGAGAATTTTGAAATAATCAAAGACTTTGTTACTGCCTTAGTAGACAGAGTAACTGTAGGGAGAAATGCTACTAGAATTGGACTTGTTCTCTACAGCCTGGAAGTTCGGCTTGAATTTGGGCTGAATAGGTACACAGCCCAACAGGATGTGAAACAAGCTATCAGAAAGATGTTATACATGGGAGAAGGCACTTACACAGGAACTGCCATCCGCAAAGCAACACAAGAAGGCTTTTTCGGGGCTCGAACTGGTGTAAGGAAAGTTGCCATAGTCCTAACCGATGGGCAAGCCGATAAGAGAGAAGCTGTTAAGCTGGATATTGCTGTCCGAGAAGCTCACGCAGCCAACATAGAAATGTATGCAATTGGAATTGTAAATACTTCAGACCCAACACAAGTTGAGTTCTTACGTGAGCTGAATCTAATTGCATCTGATCCAGACAGAGAACATATGTATCTTATTGATGATTTTAATACTCTTCCAGGTGAGCATTTAAACATGATTCTGAAGATAAACAGATTCCATTGATATATAGTGGATATCAGATATACACACATTCTACTAATACCCTTTCAAGCTAAAAGGCCTTGGTTCTGTGTTTTGTTATGACTTTGTTATGACTAAGACCCCAAAACAATCAGTGTAGAAATAGCAACTACTACTAGGAAAAAATACATCATTTTTAATGTTATCATTGCAAACTATGAAGTGTGTATTTTTATGTATGTTACCTACCATTCTAAGCTAGTATATGATCACAGATTAAGGCTATTGCCAATAGGAGTCACCAAAACACCATTTGCATAACATAAAATGTCATACAGTAGCTTTAGCTCTATGAATACTGCTAGAGATGATAAGGAGTTACATGCAACATTTATAATTCTGATCATTTTTATTCAGTATGAGACAAGGTAGATCTATCCTTAAAAAGATTACAACTTTACAACTTGAGAAAAATTATTTTTAAAAATTGCCTGGTATACACATCTATCATATCTGTATTTATAACCTACCACAAGAAGGCAATGGATGAACCAACACATTTTAAGGTTGGTAATGGTAACCTAAAATTTAATGTTCATTCTTTAATGTTCATTACATCAGAGTACACTACTTTTCTCTCGATGGATGACTCAAAAGGTCACAGGTTTGCTTTAGCTAATCCTAACTCTCAATGATCAACCATTTTTCTTTTATGAAAAATATGCTACTGGAAATACTTTTGCTAGAAACCATTACCCCTACTGTCAGAGTCCTCCTACTCAAGATATTTGGAATTTACAGTCAATGGTAAAATATTTTACATGACCAATCTAAATATTTTGGAGAACAATTTTTATCAGGCAGCATAGGAAAGTGTCAGCCAGCATGGGAAAGATCAGAAATAATAGGAATGGTAATAGAAAATACCTTGAGAATACAAAATTGTTTATTTCTGCTTTGGTACACATGCTGATATCTAGGATTTTTCTAACTGATATACAATATTGGTAAGAGGTTACATGCTGAGATGTGAAAGTAATATTCCAAGAGCTATCTACACATCAAAGAAGCAGTCAACACTTTTATAAAAATAATTATTGATTCACGTTCAAAATACTATGAATATTCGTATTACTTAGTCAATAGTTGTATATTTTACCATATTTTAGACTTTTCTTTTTCTTCTTATTTTATAGCTTTAGAGTCCAAACTTGTTAACCAGTTTTGTGAGGACGAACATGGTGCCTTAATATATAACCGAGTTGGAAATGGAGGAAGCATCAGTGGATCATTGATTCATTCAATGTCTTCTCATACTTCACAACATTTATTACACATGAACAATAAGAATGGACAAGCAGTATCTTCAAGTACATATGAAGCATCAATGAAAGACAATTCCATAAACACTGGCCAGTTTTCTCAACCATTAATTCTGGTACTCTGAAGTCCTCTTTATTAAAAAAAATAAAAATAAAAATGCACTAATGGGGTGGGTTTCCTTAAAACTCTGTTAGAGAAACATGGCTTTGCAGTTCATTTTTTAAATCAGAGTATGTTTAATAAGTGTCTGGGTTAGTTTCTAGATAATGCTGAGGATGGATTTTACAATTGATTCTAATAATATAAATAATATTTAGTAATATAATAATCTGATTTCTGAAATGATATTGTTTGATATTATCTGATTGTATAGAGATTTTCTTAAGCTGGAAACACAGAGCCGTGGGTTGGTTTTGAGCATGGAAATAATAGCGATGGAAGAAGTTTGTTCACCTTTATCTAATATTTATCTAATGTCTGTCCTTTGTGGATAGAAACTCTACCTACATTTTAAAACTAACCAATCTGGATTTACTTTAGGAAAAAGGATCACACAGAATATTTCTTGAGAACCATAACATGGTATCCAACAAAAGTGATGTTTCAGTCTTGCCTCCAGTTAACGGTAAAGGTACTTATTTCATAGTTAATTTCTTAATGAAATATGTGCCATACAGATAAAAGAAACCCTCCCCTTTCTCATTTCTTTCTTGTAATATTCTCTGCACTAGTTACTTCGGCACTGCCATTGCCAACAACATCTTCACCACCACCGTCATCCCTGCCGTCTCTAACAGCTGAAAAGACACTGCCACCATCTCATTCCTCGGTTTCTTCCATGCCATCTACCATCAAGACAGGTCTTTACATATTGCAAAGTTTCAAATCTGGGGTTTTTTCTCTCTATAAACATAAACATATAGTACTGTACATAAATATAATCATAAATGTATAGTACTGTACATACATTCTAAGTAATTATAATTTTATGCTCAAATTCTTGACTTCCTCAATAAGGCGACCTTCAAAGCTATTTGGATTTCAACTTCTGCACTTTCCAGTTTGCTGAAGCACCGTGATAGCTCTTTGCATTTCATGGGGTTTTTTTTTTACTTCTTTTATTATGCAGAACTTCATCACAAAATATCATTTTCTCCAAAACTGCAAAACTTCTGGGAAGCAGATGCAAATCTATGGCCCTGTCTCATTCATCTCTCCAATTTGTGCTCATGTTTTCTACGCTAGCTGGGGAATTCTGGGAGGTGAAATCCACATATCTTAGAATTGCCAAGGTTGAGACACAGTGTTATAACATTATTTGGGAATATTAAAGGGGTTTCTAAATTGAAGCCATATTATTCCAATAATACACAACAATTACATCTTTTGTTGTTTTTATTTTTTAAAGCGAATATCCTGAGGCCTCCTCAGTGTCAGTTAAGATTAGATCAAGGACCATGCCGCGTTTATATAATAAAATGGTATTATGATAAGCAAGCCAATTCTTGTGCTCAGTTTTGGTATGGTGGCTGCAATGGGAATGACAATCGCTTTGATAGTGAAGATGACTGTAAAAAGACATGCGTACTTTTCTCTGGAGGTAAGAATTAACTATTGTTTTTACAATGTAAGATTCATGTTTCTTGTCCTTTGGGGAAGAAACCTATGCTGATCAAATTCAGTTTTTCAAAAGTTGAAATTTGGTAATCAGAGATCTTGTACGTATTTTTTTCCTACGAGCAGAGTTTCATTAGAAAACTGAAAAATTAAGCTTAGCCATAAAATATAAAATTATTATGTTCTAGTTTAACACAGTTCGTGATCCGTACTGTGTCAATGGCATATCTTTAGGGTTTGGATTTTTGTTTTTGTGTCTTGAATCAGTGTTCATCCTCTCACCTTCTAGATCAATGGTTATTAAACTGGCGGTAATTAATTTCAATTCTCTGTGACCATATAATCACCAAATGCTTCCTTGAATTTATCTGTCGCTGTAAGTCTCAATGTTCTCTAGGGCAGAGGAACCCAGACAGAAATGCAAGTAGCCAAAGTGTCATAAGCATATCATGTTTGACCATAAGACAAGGGGGGGATCTAAAATCTATAGTCATGCCAAATTTCTTCAGGTTTTCCAGTTTCAAAAATTCTTCATCAGGAAAGTGAGGTTAGCAGGAAAAAAGGGGGGAAGCGTATGATTCAGTCTCTATCAAATTTGTTTTCAAAGGTGTTGAGGAAGAAAAACACATTGTATTTTAACAGATATAGAATAGTTTAAGATTCTGATGTGGTTTCTCCCAAAGGTTGCTAGAAGAAGCAAACATATTTGTCAAACCCTTCATCTTGGAAATAAAATTTCTAAGTATTAAAGTTGCAATAAGGAACAATTTGAAAACAGTACCTAAATATTTGTCACTATTTATTGACAGTTGACTTTCTTTTGCTCAACAATAATGTAAAATGACATTTATTTTGCAGATGCCTAAAGATTGCCCATGAAACAGAATGGAACAGAAAAGACTTTTTAATCACAAGAAAAGTGGTATAAAACATAAATATCAAGGGTTTTCTTATTACAGTGTACTTAATTCATATGAGGATTTTATCCTGAAATCACTTATTCTGGTACACTCTTACTAAAATCTACAAGAAAGGGTTTTTTTTAACTTCAGAAACTATGACAGTACCTGCAGATAATGTTAAAATATGTATTGGAATTATACAGATTTTCTTTGGGTCTAGAACAATATTCATGCTTCGTTAATTGCAAACAAAGCATTTGCACTGGATCCTAGGTACCTCTGTCATTCAAACTGGCATTCCTGTAGGACAAAAGATTCTATAACTGTTGCTTGTTTATTTGAACTCTGCTGCATTCCTAGCCCAAATGATCTGCAATGTTCCTAGAGAAGTGAGGAATAGAATCAGATCCTTCACTTGCCGGAGAACAGAAGTTACTAAGATGAATCCCAGCGCAATTCAAGTAAAGAAAAATCCTTGAGTGCATTGTCAGTTGTCATGGAAAAATCATTGATATGGTGCTGGATGTTTTAATCTTCTACCCAGTTGACTGGAAGAAAGAAGGATGGATATAAGCCCAGCTGCTAAGTTGGAAACGAAAGCAGTTGATGTTATTGATAAAGCAGTTGATGATTTGCAATAATTTAGAATGGGATGACATGCATACTTCTTTTGCATGAATGGATTTGGGAATCCGGTAACCCTTTTGAAATATAATCTTGTAGAAAGTACAATAAGAAGTATCTAAAGTCATTCGTAACAGTGGCCTGATATGTACCTGTATCGGTGTAAATTTAAGCAACCTATAGGCTAATACTCAGTTTTTTCCAGGAAGTTTCAAATAACCAGAAATGGGACTACTTTAAGGGAAAAGATTACTGCCTTTTCAGAAACACTTGCAAAAATAAAATGCTAGAGGAGAAATTAGCATATAAATCATGCATTTAATACAAGTATACTCCAGGTCTCACCAGCTATTCATGTGATTGGTCATGGAGGTCTCTGCTTTCCAAGTCTGAAAGCCAACCGGAACAATGTATACTGACAGATGAGAAGGATAAAAAAAAAAAAGCTAGAACATTGAAAGTTGTGAGAGTTGACTAATTAGTATTTACAAAAAATATTATCATCGTTACCTTTGATGTCATCATGCAAAATCATATGATGATGCCCAGTAACTGAAAATTGCTAACATCTGCTCTGAAACAAACTCAATCATCAATGTATTAAGACTTAATCTAACAGCTGATTTTAATCACGTTTTTAATCAAGTGATTTTGATTTTAATCAAGTGACAGACAATAAAGTAAAAGAAACTGCAATGATACCTTAGTGAAGATATTTACATAGTGCTAGTAAATAGTGAAAAGCTATTTATGATTATTAGCATCATATAATCATTATCAGCATAATAATTAACATGTAGTAAGAAATATATTCTTTTTTCACAAGATACCTATACAGTGTTGAAAAAGTATTAGTTTCTTTCATGGAAATAATTTAGTCATAATCCTGTTCACTTGTTTTTAGTTTAGCATGATATGCAAATCTATCTGTCTATGCTATGTACTATGTGAATCAGATCACACTGGCTTCTTCAAACTGTAGTTTAATAGTTGTGCTTACATGCACACAATCACAATAAGATTTTTCAAGTATATACTACAGAATTAACAAGTAACTTTAACATGCTTGTAATTCCTACCCTAATTTGAAATATCTTTTTTAAATGAAAAGGTCAAATCATGCTGTTCCAGATAGGAGTAGATAGTTTAATTCTAAAACTATTTCTGACCTTTTAAAACTGGATTTCAGATGTTGGTTTACATGGCAAGTGACAGATTAATACATATGTTTACAATAGGATGTTGAATTTTGTTCTGCCACATGCTAGCTGTTGAAAGACTTATGTTTCTGCTCTGTTTTATATTATACTCATTTATTTTCATTAAACGTCTGAAATGTATTTTTGTGAGTTGAATATATATTAACATTTTTTTTCTAAATGGACTACTTATACCTTTATTTCATCAGCCAGAACATTTTCACTGCTGTACCAAAACGAATATCAATGTCTCATTTCATCACTTGAATTAAAACCAATGTAATTGTTTTCATCATTTTCAGGAGGAAGATTTTTACCATTGTATTTATGCTTTTGTGAAACTAAGAAAAATAAGAATGTAACCTCTTTTTTTGAAGAAGTGTATATGGTCAGAAATCACTTACTCAGTTTGCAGACATATCTTTTTACAGTGAGACAAAGAAAAGAACTCCCTGCTCTGTTGAATAAAGATTAAGGCTGCAATTTGTTTGTATAAAAGGGTGTAAAAGGGGATTTCCTTAGAATTGAACTCAACCACTGATAACTTCACATATTTATGTAGTTTGCTTTGCTTGCCACAAATACAAAGTTGTTTGCTATTACTTTCTTTCAATATTCTTTTAACTTGTCTGTCCAGTCTATAACTCATACTTATTTATGATCTTACATTCAGAACTACCCTGATCTAATCTTAGCTTACCAAAATCAAGCAGGTGCTGCCATCTACCATTTTTTTCATACTCAGCAAGATATACACCTATTTAAAGAATAGAATACTGGCAGTTGTAATTTTGATAACAAAGCTAATTTTTATAGTTATAAGGTTGGGGAACTTTGTCATAGTAACATACCAAATCTGAATTTTGCCAGTTTTAAAACAGTGGTTTTCTTCAAATATTTTTTTCCCAAATTCTAAATTAAAACAACTATACATTAAAAATGTAAATTTTAAAAATGAGTCATAAAATCTTGCTAAAATTGTAAACTTTAAGCCGAAATGAAATAAATCCGGCATGTGAACAAATTCCTCTAACTGCATTAAACCGACTATTTCTCTTAAGGCTGGTTTCTGCTACGATTGACTTTTCGAACTCGGTCTGAAATAGGAGTTTCGCCCCGCTTTTTGCTATTTCTCAATGATGCAAGAAGTTTGCCTGATAAAATTGGGAAGATGAGAATTGAGACGTAACAGGGCAATGGAACGTCTTCTGTCTGGTCAGAGTCCCTTGGAGTTGGGCGGCCAATAAATGTAAATCACTAACATTAATAACCTTTCCCACAATAATTGAGAACCTTTCCCTCTGCATTAGAACTATACGGCTTTCATTATTCCAAGCCAGCTGCAAATGGACTATGGGTGCTGTAGCCTTTAACACATCTGGCGAAAGGAGCAGGCCGAGAAAACGAGTCCCGAGGAATTCTCTTCGCTTCTGAGCAGAAATAGCGCCCTCTAAGCTTCCACGCAAAAATGTAAATCCGGCAGGTTTTTCAAACGCGCTGAGGAAGTTTGTCCTTCGCCGGTGCCCGTCGGAAAGCTGGAGTCGGGAACGCGAAGATCTAATGGATGGTTGTCATGGCGGCGGCTGCAGCTGCGGATTCGCTGTGGGAGGACCGAGATGTTCGCTTTGACATCTCTTCTCAGTGAGTGATGTGGCGCGAGCGCGTCCCCGCCCATCTCGCCTCTCCCTCGCGGGTCGGAAGGGTCTGGCTTGACAGGAGTGGCGGTTCAACGGGCGGGCGCTTCGCGACCCTGGAGCCCAGGAGGCCGTTCCCCGAGCAGCCTTTGTGGGATGCTTGTTGTCTTCCTCCTCCCGCTGCCCCCTTGGGGACAATGGACCTCGACCCTCCCCATCCCCATTCAAATCCTCATTTATTTATTTATTTATTTATTTATTTATTTTTATTTAAATTTCTATACCACCCTACTCCCAAAGGACTCAGGGTGGTGAACAGCCACAGGATAAAACACATAAGTACAAAAATTTAAAATAGAATAAAAATGAATTAAATAATTTGGCTGAATTTAAAATACCCCATAATTTAAAAACAAATTTAAAATTTACATTTAAAAAGGGGAGAAGATTTAGGCCAGGCCAGCTTGATGAAATAAAAAAGTCTTAAGCACGCGATGGAAGGTATGCAGATCCGGGATCCGCCGTATCTCCGGGGGGAGCTCGTTCCAGATCGTAGGTGCCCCCACAGAGAAGGCTCTCCCCCTAGGGGCCGCCAGTCGACATTGTTTGGCCGACGGCACAATCTAGGAGCTTTTGCACACTTAATTCGTTCCTGTCAACCCTGTGACGGGGAGGGGCTACAGGTAGTCCTCGACTTACAACTTAGTGACCAAAGTTACAACAGCACTGAAAAAAAGGGAGCGATCACCATTTTTCACACTTACGACCGTTGCAGCGTCCTCACGGTCACGTGATTTACATTCGGATGCTTGACAACTGACTCACATTTATGACGACTGCCGTGTCCCGTCGATCCCCTTTTGCGACCTTCCAATAAGCCAAGTCAATGGGGAAGCCAGATTCACTTAACAACTGTGTTACTAATTTAACAACTGCAGCGATTCACTTAACAATGTGGCGAAAATAAGTCGTAAAATGGGGCCAAATTCACTTAACAAATGTCTCACTTAACAGCATAAATTTTGGGCTCAATTGTGGTCATAAATTGAGGGGTACCTGTATTTGTATTTTTTTCTGGACCGTTGAAAACCCCAAGGGCAAGGATAAGGCGCAGAAACTACTCTTTTTTTTTTTTATTCTGCTTCTATATATATATATGTCTAATCTTCCTTAGGACTCTTTTGGTGTGTGCATGCTTTGGAGTCAGTGTTGACTCCTGGCAACTGCCTGGACTAGTCCCTGTTGTTTTCTTGACTAGATTTTAGAAGTACAGGTAATCCTCGATTTACTACTGCAATTGAGCCCAAAATTTCTGTTGCTAAGTGTGACATTTGTTAAGTGTAATTTGCCCCATTTTAACGATCTTTCTCTTATTTATTTTATTTATTGGTTCAATTTATATGCCGCCCTTCTCCGGAAACTCAGGGCGGCTTACAATGCGTTAAGCAATAGCCTTCATACTTTTGTATATACCTGCTTAGTAGGGCTTTCGCCCCCCCCCAAGCGGTGTTCTTTTTTATACAAAGTCAGCTTATTGCTGACTTTGTATAAACCGTGTCCTTATTTTACCTACCTCGAAAGGATGGAAGGCTGAGTCAACCTTGAGCCTGGTAAGATTTGAATTTGCAGTAATTGCAGGCAGCTGGTGCTACTTAACAGCACTTTAGTCATAAGTCACTTTTTTCAGTGCTATTATAACTTTGAACAAATTGTTGTAAATTGAGGACTATCTGTAGTTTGCCATTACCACATCCTTAATGCTGAGAGAGGGGGACTGGCCCAAGGTTACCTAAACTGGCTTCATGCTCAGTGCAGGACTAGAACTCATCATCTCCCATATTCTAGCGTCCTGCATTAACCACTACATTAAACTGGCTCCTTCACATCTTATTTATTTTGGAAGACCTCATCGTACCTTACAGAGTTGTTATTTGTAACTTGAGAGGCACATATATTGAGCATTTTTGATTGAATCAAAATTAAAACATTTTAATAACATAATTCAAAAATTGTCATCTGTTTTGAACTGAACAAAGGAAGGAAATTAACAGCTTTACACCTGGAAAAGAGGATAATGTATTTCATTTGGCAATATGAATATTTGATGTGCCTGTTGATATAAATTTAATTGAACCTTCAGAAGAATTAGCCGTAAATGTAATGATTCAAGAGAAAACCTCTTGAATTGAATCATTCAGAAGCAAAATATATTAAAAGTGATATTATCACTGGATTCCCATCCAGGGGGGCACTACTTCACAGTACTTGAAATGTGATTCTGTTATAAACGATTGTTTATAACATAGGAGTTCAGACTGGGATTGAGGGCCACTGGGGGGCTTGATAGTTATAATTAAGAATTACTGTAGTGCTGTAATTTACTTTCTTATCCCAATTTATTTTTCCTTTTAGATCTTAAGTGTGAAGACGGGATAGCTTTTTTTAAAAAAAAGTTCTGGAGGGGTTTTATTGGCTCAAGAGGGAATGGTGATGACAACGTGGTATAGGACAAGCCCTTTTACAGAAATTGTAGGCTGGGGGAGAGTTGTACATAATTGTTACCTCTCAGAACGTTATTCATCTTCAATTAATTATGACTGACCTCTGTAATTAAAAACAAGACAACTATTTATAGCAATATCTAAGAATATAATATTGTTTTAGGCAAATGAAAATGAGACCAGGGGAGATCCTCATTGATTGTTTGGAGCCTATTGAAGATACCAAAGGCAACAATGGAGAGAAAGGTAACAGAGTTTTTAAAAGTTGGTTAAATTTGTTCCACAGACATTTCAAAGAAAGAAAAGTTTTTTCTGGTTGGTTGATTTTGAACATATGCAATACAAAACCATGCATTCAGAATAGAATGAGAGAGAATGAGATAGCTTATTTTTCTGTTTTTTCAGATATTTCATCTCCTAAAACTCCTGTGTGTGTCTGTTTGCATTAATGATAATCTCTTTTAATTAACAAATATACTTCTGCCAAATTAAGGTATCCCCCATGGATGTAAGATGAATTTTATTTTGCTTGTGAAGTTTGTGATTCACAATTATCTGAATTTATTACACGGAATATCATTGTACAACTAATTTGAAGGCCACAATTGCCTTCATTTGTTAAAGTCCGGTATTTATCTTCCACTTTTCCCCATGCTATCTGGTATTAGGTTTTTTCTCCCCCACTTGTCTCATATCTACAAAACATCTGGTTCTAGAAATCTTTCGCCTTACCCTTTAATGTTTTGCTTCCTTAGTTTATTTCCCCCATAAATGCTTACATAAGATTGTTTGCTTCTAGGGATGGCATTCACAGTGTTTATTTATCTTGTTCTATAACTGTATTATATCCTTTTAAATCCTATATATTGAGAGCAAACTCATCCCCTCAGTGTGAATACTTATTAATCAATATTGCATTATATACACTCAAAAGATTTGTAAGTACAGGAGACCCTCACTCTATCAGGACAGAAGGATGCTGGAGGACAGATTGGCCAAGGTTTTGAAGATTCAATGTTATCTCCAGATTGAGGCAGCATGCTTCCAAAAGCAATTACAGTGCAGAGATGCAGAGACCAAAGAGGGAGGCTATGTCCCATTTTCTATTTGCAAATATCCCAGAGCATCTGGCTGGTCATTGTGAGAAACAAAATGCTTGTCTAAGACGGGCTTGATCTGATCCAGCAGGCTTGTGCATGCCACGGCTGCTATCTATTATTAAACTGGGAACATGCTGGTGAATCCGTCCTGTAAGAGGTGTAGTTCATTTTCTAGCAGCCATCTCATAGGGGCCTATTATAATTACTTTCAGTTGGAATAAGTTAAAAAAGAGAAACAATGGCTAAGTTTATTAACAGGATTTCTCTCTGGATTGTTGGTCAAAAATCATTGCTGCTTTATATTATATTTGATTACATGTCTAACATGTCCATGTGTTCATGCACTTTTTTTTCCTGTTTCTCATATGTAAAAACAAAGTTATCGGATGTAGAAATTACAATTATTTTTTTTTTAATTTATAGGCAGACTCTTAGTAACAAACTTAAGAATTATTTGGCATTCTGTTGTATTGCCTAGAGTCAACCTCTGTAAGTATTTTTTTCCTTTTTAATGCATATTTTGTCTACACACACATCCCCCGTTGTTAATAATGTACAGTTTCTAAAAAGTCAGCCAAAAAGTCTTTCTGATGTATTTGTCAAATCTGTCAAATTATCACCATAATCTCCAAGGATTCCTGATGATTTATAACATCACTACTGCAACCTATAACAATAGTATTAGCTGTTATTATGTGACAGAAGGTGCACCTGGAGAGGCAGTGGGGAAGAGTTTTGGCAACATAGAGCTTCCCCAGAGAGAGGCCCAGATTAAGATACTGTAACGTTCCAAGATGGAGGAAGGAAAAGGTTCGGGGTAGCCATAGTCTAGAATCGCTCAATATATACCTAGTTAACTTAGAAGATTTCATCTTTAATTTGGTAAAATTCTGTGCATTAGGTAGAAGCAAATAAAAGATGGAATTCTGTTGGATTTTCCTGTGTCATCTCTGGGCTTGGGCCTGACATATTAGCTGTTATTAAAATAACCCGACCCTTTTCAGATTCTCATCAGACTGAAAAAAGATGCTGTTATTTCATTCATTTTAATGGAGTCCTTAAAGTAGTAGCATCTTGGGTGAGAGGAGGAGGGTTGATGGTTATGTGGAAGCTCAAAAAAAATGTGTTACGTATTTTAAAATGTACCATACCCCTAATTGAAATACTGCTAGAGTAGTTACAGGTGGCAGGTGGTGAACTTGTTTCTTTTTCTGCTATTGTTGGTGGTAAAAGAGTGGTAAGATGAGGTCTGCAGGGAGCATTGTAAAAGAAGTGAATTGGAAAGAGATTTTGAGGTCTGTTCTGTAGATAACAATGGTAGAATCAAAAATGTTATTCAGCATATTCTGTGGTATTACATTCAGATACCTCAGACTGTCTTAAATTTTGTTGCTTGAGAAGTATGAAGCAATAGTAGATGATTTCAAAGATATTATATATTAATCTGGAATTGTTAAAAATGAAAAATTGTTTTGCTTCACTTCACTTCCCACTTGTCTTCTGGTGCTGTTATATATTTGCTGTGCATATATTATATAATGTTACTTTATACTAACAATCTGTTATTAAATCATTAGTCTAATGCTATATCTTTAACAATGTTGTGTTTCTTTTCCCTAATTATTTAGCTGTTGGCTACAACTGCTTTGTGAATACAACAACAAGAACTGCTAACTCGGTAAGATTACAAAATTAGTTTTGAATCAGCCAGAATATTTTTCAAAATAGATATGCTGTTTTAAAATAATATAACTTGCTAATCATTATTTGCTTTACAGAGCTCCTTAAATTTCAAACACAAGAACATTAGTGATATCCAAGTTTTATATATGCATTATGGCATTGACTTTAATGAATTCACTTGAGTTGCATTAAGTTCTTCATTTAAGATGACAGATACTTATTCAGTTGGACGCAGAAGAAAAATGCAGGCAGTGATATCAAACAGGAAGTTAATAAAAAAATTTTTTTTGCTAAAGATATGAAAGATTTGGTATATAAACTACAGTGTATAATTATGGTCATGCCTTCTGATTTGATGTCAGCTAGCATTCACAAATTGATAAGTATGTTCCAAACACAGAATAAGCATCTTCTGCATCTCAAGTAGAAGCTCAAGTACTATTTCGATTTGGGAAATCGAAATACTATTTGTGAAAGGGTACTATATTTTATCTTTTTCCAGTCTTCAATGTTGGTAGTTTAATGAAGGTATACAAATAGTCCTTGGTTAATGGCAGTCATTCAACAACTGTTCAAAGTTACAGTGGCACTGAACATGAGGAACTTACAACCGGTCCTCAAAGTTCCATCCATAGCAACATCCTTACATCACATGATAATGATTCATGTGCTTGGCAACCAGCTTGCAATTATGGCATCTCACAGTCACATTTGTGACCTATCCTGCCAGCTTCCCACAAAGCAAAATAAATTGGCAGGAGGTCACAAGTCACTCCTGCTTCTGCCGCTTTTTCACACCCTCACATTCAATAGCATCTGCCCACAGAAACCTAGCACCTTCCTATAGCACCTGCCTACACATGCTCCATAATGCCTACCCACAACACACACACACACACACACACACACACACACACACACACACAGGTCTCGCTCCTCAGCCTGCTTGCCTGAGACTCCCACCTCCCATGTCATGAACATGTAAAGTTCTCATATAGTCCTAGTGTTATGACAGCAACTGGGATTTCTGGGATTGCCATTGCTATAGAATGTGGTCACATAATACTGTGCTTCACGACTGCATCACTTAGCTACAGAAATTCCAGTCCCAGTTGTCATCATAAACCGAAGACTATCTGATGAGCCTCCAAATGCTAATGTCCTAGCCCAGATTTCATTCTCTTTCCAAGGTTCTTTAACAGGTTAAGTCAATAATAATTAGAAGTTTTACAGAAGACAGGAAAATAACTATTGAAAAATAAAAATATGTGATGGCAAAGTAAGAATATTAATCAGGTGTACTTATGTGTTATCTCATAATATCATCCAGGTAGTTATAGATCTATCATCTCACATTAAAATAAATGTTCTCTTAATTCTACATTATTCCACATCATTTTATATAATAGTATCTTCGTTAATATAGTTTGGTCTTCAGATTTGACCCATAAGAGAAAAGAGAGAGAGGTGGGAAGAAAAAATAATGATAGATATTGATTAGTGCAGATATAAATAATTGGAATTTTAATGTAGGTCAGCTTTATTTAATGAGTTCATAATTAAAATTCACTTCACATGTTTTATGAAATGTGCAATTTAACAGAAATGATCTTTTATGTGCTTTACATTTACTGAACTTGGTTTTTATAATATGTGAGTTGTTACCTACTCAAGGCATTTGTGATATGGCAGATTAGAAATATAGCATACATTTGTATCTCTCAAAAACTGAAGTTTCATTAAATGCAACTCTGTATAATATTTTTCAGAAATGTTAAATGACTATAATGTTCATTTCTTTTTTTCTTTTAAAAACTACAATAAAATATTAAATCTGATATTTTCTCTTATAGAAATTAAGAGGACAGACCGAAGCACTTTATATCTTAACCAAATGCAATAACACACGTTTTGAATTCATATTTACAAATGTGATTCCTGGGAGCCCCAGACTTTTTGCTTCTGTTATTTCTGTTCACAGGTATTTATGGGTTTTTTTTAAGTTTTATGTAGAAACACAAAAGATTCAATAAAGCAGCCCTAACAAAATTAGTTAATTACATATGGTAGATTAGGTTTCAGAAATTTTGCTGTGTTGGTTTGAAATATAATACAATTTGGTATTTACAAATGCAGATCTCTGCTCTGTATTTGAAAATCGTTCCCTTACCATCCTTTTTCCACAACCTCCTCTTTTGTACATTTTAAAAGTCCACAACAGGTACTAGTATTTTATTCTAGGGCTTTTTATTTGAATCTGTATGCACTCATGCAGAGAGAAGAGGTATACTTCTGGATATATTAAATGCTACTAATGACTATCAAAAATTTTAGGTCCAACTGTAATAAAAACAAAATGCTATTGTTTTCCAAGAAATGAATTTATATCATTGTTTAGTTCTACTTTCATTTGTATCCTTTCTGTTCTAATTTAAATGATAACAAGTTAATCTGAATCCCAGCTAAAATATTATTGTTATTGTTAATTAAATTTGTTTGCTGCCCATCTCACTGCAAGGGGAGTTCCTGAGATATGCATACCATCATCAGGAAATAACCGACTTAAAAGGACTATTGTATTGGGGAATAGTAATATTGTTTTCAAATTCCTAAGTATCAACCATCTGAGTTTAATGCAATTTGTAGAAAAAAACATTTCAGTATATTCCCAACTTCTGAATGAAATGTTCATGTTTTCAGCCAAGCAATTTTCCAGAGAAGAGGAGTATTCAGTTACGCATCTTTATCTTTTTACATAAATTATTTTTTGTACAGCAAGTCTTCTTGCACTTCAGCTTTTCAAATTACAAATAGATTTTTATATTATTTATAAATATAATATTTATAAAATTTATATTATAAATATTACAATATATAATATATAAATATATAATAATTATATATTTATAATATAATATTTATTAAAATTATGTTCAGCTGCCAACTCAAACAAGCCTGAAGGCCAAGAAAAGGTTGAAATAAATGTTTCTGAATGGATGTTGCTGGCGGTATCCCTTAAGTGGGCGAAGTGGGCGGTATCCCTAATCCTAATCCTTTGAAAAAGGTGGCACAACCCAAATAGTTTTTTCAGGTAGAAAAGTGCTTAACAATTTACATGCCTCAATCTCTTAGGAGTGCTTTTTCCAGAGCATGATTTGAATAACTCAATTCCATGGCAAAGTACGGGAGATTTCATGGAGCTCCATTTGCAGAAAGACTGTGTATGTGATGCTTCAGTGCTGAAAACATCAGATATATCTTATTTCAGTGGTTCTCAACCTGTGATCCGCGGACCCATGAGGGTCCACAGTGTTGTCACGGGGTGTGTGTGTGTGTGTCTGTGAAGGCTTGAAGAAATGTCATGATTTAAATCTTGAGTTAAGTCTTGGAGGTCCGTGGCCAAAAAAGGTATTAAAAGGGGGTCCGTGGTGAAGAAAAGGTTGAGAATCGCTGCCTGGTTGTAAAGAATACTTTGTAGCAAGGGCTGATTACTTAAGTTTTTTTCTTGAAAATCTAAGAAATACTTGGATACTAAGAATAAGCTTAAATTTTATGCATTGAGTGAACATGTGTATTTCTATGAATCTGCATCTTTTACCTCAGATTGGATGAGGTAAGGTTGTAAGATTGGACACTTACAGAAGATTGAGGTTGTCTGCAGGGATGCTGATATATAATGAATATCTCTTACTTTTTTCTGTATATTTTTTTAACTGCTGCTTAATATGATCAGTTTACTCATCGGTAAATTAATTGGACTGAATTGTACACAAAATGGACTGTTTCATGGATACGTTTAAATAAAATGAGATTAAAAATGAAAATGTTAAAACTATATGTTCCATTATTTGTAGAGCTTACGAAACATCAAAAATGTACCGTGAGCTGAAGTTGAGATCTGCATTAATTCAGAACAAGCAATTGAGAATGTTACCAAAAGAACAAGTGTACGACAAAATAAATGGTGTTTGGAACTTATCTAGTGACCAGGTATGATGTGGCATGAGAAAATAATATTAAGAAAGTAGTTTCTTAAAAAGTGTCTGATGTGCCAAAAGAATTATATAACCCGTACACAAACTATTTGATTATATTATGTAGGAATAGTAGACTGTTTTAGTATTAATACTTCAGAGCAAATCAAATCTTCATTACAGTCATAGACCAGCATAATTATTACTTCATTTTCCCATAAAGACTATCCAAGACACTTAACATTCAGGGCAGTACAAGAAGTAATAATCGTAGTAAGGAAAGAACACCACAGATAATTTAGGAACAAAGAACAGGAGTATAGTAGTGTAAGAAGCATTGCATTTGTAAATGAGGAAAGCTATGTAAAGCAGCTTCAAGACAAATAACTTATATGAAATCAGAAATATATGAAATCAGCTAGGTGGCGAGGGACGGAACAAAATGCACACAGGGAGTAGATGGGGTATTCTCTACTCCATTAGCCACTTCCAACATGCCCCCCGTCCCCACCCCACCCCCGGTAAGGCCCCAGGCTAATTGGCATAGACAAGGCCTTTTGGAAGGCCAAAGTGATGGGGGCAGATCTGACCTCAAGGGACAATTTTTTTCTAGAGGGTGGGAGCCACAACTGAAAAGGCTCTTCTTCTGGACTCTGCCAGGCGACATTCCTTGGCTAATGGGGTCCGCAGCATACCCCTTCTGCCAGCAATCCATCAGGTTGAACCAGTTTCTCAGATAATGTGGACGTATACCACGAAGGGCTTTAAAGGTGATAACAACACCCTGAATTGGACTTGGAAGCAAACTGGCAGCCAGTGCAGCTTGTGGAATAGCAATGTAACATAGGCCACCGTAGGGGCTCCAAGAACTGTCCGTGCAGCTGTTTTCTGGCAACTGTTGCTCAGTTGTTTCTAACTCAGTGAATCAAATCAAACCTTTATTACAATCATGGACCGGCATAGCTTATTCAGTTGGATTCCAGTTTTTAAAAACTCACAAAGGAAACATTTTCTTACATACAGTTGTTTTAACATCTAAAAATTTAGCTAAAAATAGGAAGAAAATCAGCATTACAGAGTAAAGCAGCTCTTTTTGAATACTGTCACTTTGATGTCAGTAGTTGCCTCTGGAACAACCTAAATTTAACTTGCATGCCATTGTATTTGAATGGCATATTATTTTGGGAACTTGGCAGGAACGCCAGAGAGTTTCCTCCTTTGTGCCATGATTTCTTTTTATTACAGGGGATTCCCAATGAGTTTCTTATTTAAATAAGCATTTAAATGTCAGTTTTACTTTAGGAAATGTGCTGTTCTATTTAGATTTTACACAAATACGTAAAAATATGAAGGATTCAAGGAGCCTGGTTTATTTTGCTTTCTTTCTTTTTCTAGGGAAACCTGGGTACATTTTTTATTACAAATGTAAGAGTAGTTTGGCACGCTAATATGAACGATAGCTTTAATGTCAGTATACCATATCTGCAAATTGTAAGTAGCTACAATTACCTCTCTTATTAGTAATTATCATATATGATATTATTTTAATTATGCAAAATATATATTTGGCTCTTGCAGATTGAAATCAGTAACCTTTCAGCTCCCCTACTAGATCACCCATATGTACTCATAAGAGGGTGTATGGCTTGTTAGGTCTTAATTATATGTGAAGCTATTGCTTTGTTAATAGGTTACTCCGTTTTCAAATGGCGGTAATTATTAGGATGGTATCATTTGAAAAGGAAATGTTTAAGCTTTCCTTCTCTAACTGCAATCTCATAGAAGAGGAGGACTCATTTCTCAGACTAATTATCTTTTTGTTGAGATAGTGGATAAGTAGTGGAAACATCATACACATCATTGCCACTGACGCATCTATCTCCCACAACTGTTGTCATTTTTTAAAAAAACTGCAAATTGCACGACACTCATGTCTAATTAGTACTCAAGATCTCTTTATCACGTTTATGAGGCAAGTTTTCATTCTAGTGAAACAGTGGGGAAAGGAAATTAAGCAATAGTATAGGACATATTAGAGGTGGCATGATGAGTGGCATTAGGTGTGTGTAAACTAGAAACTTTGCTTTGGATGTCATGGTCTAAATTAAGAAATTATATAACTTTTTAAATGTGCCAAACATTATTTGGTTGCCAAGGTAATTATTGTTATGCCAGCTAAAAGTGTTGTGGAAGTAACCATACAAATATTTAATTCTGATTGAAATTCACAAAAGTTAGCTTTTTCATTTCCTTTTTAGTGTGTTTTTTGGTTTTGTCCTTTCAAATATTTACAAAGATCTTAATTGCAAGAGATTGTATCAATATTTTCAGTTACTTTTGTTAAGAATCTATTTTAAAAATGTTTTAACACATATATATTTATAATCTTTGCATCCAGCGTTCTATAAAGATTAGAGATTCAAAATTTGGCTTGGCACTTGTCATTGAAAGTTCTCAGGCGGTAAGAAAATAATGGCATAATTTATTTTTTCAGTTCATATATCATTTGATTTACAATAAATATTTTTTACTTTCTTTTAATCAATTCTGTTATTCTGTTCTGTTATTCAAAGAGAAATTGTTGCTTTGATTCGCATAATGTAGTAGCCTGGTATTATACTTGGTAAATAAGCATAAGTAATGAAAAGACATAATAATGACCATGATAAATTAGCAGCAGGTGACCAATCAGATCTCTGAATGAAACATGGCTTACCAGCTTAGTCATGTACTATTTTTGAGCAATGTGTTCCTGTAAAAATTGTAAGTGCAGTCTTGAAATTATCTGCTTCTGAGAAGTTGGAGTAAGACTGTGAATAAATGGCTTTGGAAATGCATGTGTCATTGCTGATTATTTTTCTCATGCTGCTGCTGAGATTAGTATTTAAAAATAGCTTCCAGCGTTGAATTGTCCAGTTGCTTTGGTAACAGTATCTTAAAAATTGTATTCATTCACAAAAAAATGGTACATGAAAATGAACACATGAAAAGCCAACTAAAATGCATTAAATAATATATATGTATATTAGATAATGTGTGTGTGTACATACAATACACACGCACACATTATGTACACAGACATATATAATATATCTCCTATGTGATAGATAGATAGTATCTTTCTGCATGTCTGGTTAAGAAGTAACTCCCACTGCAGCTTCTAGGTTTCTTAAATGTTCAATTTATATTACATATTTAACCATGATTTAAAGTAATACTCTGCCATTGACTTCTCATATGATAATGAACCATTTTAGAGTTTGTAAAATATACTTGATTATAATTTATAATTATAATGTATAATATAGCATAATTATTGTGTAAGTTTTATTTAACATATTACTCTTTTACAGACTGGAGGATATGTGCTTGGATTTAAGATTGACCCAGTTGAAAAACTGGAGGAAACTGCAAAAGAAATAAATTCATTGCATAAAGTGTTTTCAGTCAATCCTATATTTGGAGTAGACTATGAAATGGAAGAAAAGGTATACTTTTTTATATTTTAATCAATCCCTGCTTTTGTTTAAAGATATTTTAAAAATGTAAGTTGTTGTTTAAAATTATTTTCTTTATCAACATTCAGCCTCAACAGCTAGAAGATTTGAAAGTAGAACAAATAGAGGAAGATGTAGAAATAGAGGCAAATGAGCCGACAGATGCCTTTGTGGTAAGTGTCTCTTAAAACTAATAACTTTTGTATTGTTTCCCTGTACACTTAGGTGTACTAAACTGATCAGTAAATTATAATGAGCTCATAGTCCAGGTCAAAATGCTAATAAACTAAGATATATGTCTTGGATGTAATATTACACTAACAATTGTCATTTTATACTATTGATCAAGTAACCCAAGAAGTTATGGGTTAAATATAGGTAGTTGTCCTTTATTCATTTGCTTATTTATAATTATTGGGTGCTGCCTATTCAAGAAACAGTTTATTTTCAAACAGTGAGCAATAACATTACACTAAAGAAGAAATCCCAGCTCTCTCTCTAATACTAGGAATAAATCAGTTGTTTAGTTGCATGTGATATATCAGATCAAAGCTAATTGTTTATTTGCCGTAAGTTCTATATTTAGAATCGTTATATAAGATTATACATATTAATAGGAATGTCTTGAAAAACAGGATTTTAAATTGAAAATGAATTTATTTTATTTAATACTAAGTAAATTACATAAGAAATGAGATTTTGATATCTTTGAGATAATGGTTTTTCAATGAATTAATTTACTGCCTGAATTTCAGTTAAAAATAATGCTGAATGCCACCATAACTTATTTATATTTTTCTATCATAGGCTTATTTTGCTGATGGAAACAAGGTATTTTTTTAAGTTACAATAAAACTGACTTAGTTTCTTGTTAACACTATTAACCACAATTTGCTTACATTTTTTTCTTCTTGTTGTTCTGCAAATAGCAACAAGACCGTGAGCCTGTTTTTTCCGAAGAGCTAGGACTCGCCATAGAGAAACTGAAAGATGGATTCACATTGCAAGGACTCTGGGAAGTAATGGGTTGATATTCATCTTAAAAAGATGTAATAATTGACAAAATATATTTTGTCTCTAAAACTCATGCTGCAGTCTTTTTAATCAATCAAGCTATAGCTACCTCTATAGATTGCAAGAAAAAAATAGTGTTCTTGTATAGTTTTAACATAATTTCTTGTATATATAAGATATTTAAGCTGTGCTTTGTCTCTTTATTCAGTACTTCAACTGCTTGCATTTAATATCCATTATGTATTATTTAAAATATCACTGTAAATAAAACTGATAGTTCATAATGTAAACTGAGAAAAGATGTTCTAAATGTGAATGTTGTGGTTGCTTTGGTAGCTATAGTGTTTTTCCTCTATATCTTTCAGCCATACACCCCCAAGTATGAAGACTCAAGGGAAGTTTATTTTGAATAGTCTTTTCCATTGGAATCCATACGTAAGGGAGATATATTGCTGCTTCTTGTCCCAGGTTGTGTCTCCTCTCTGACAATGAAAAGTTTGGAATGAATAGATTGGAGAGTAACTCTGATTTACTCTGAAGTAATTTACTAGTTTCTGGACTAAGAGGTTGGCTGCAGTACTTGGCAGAAGCCTCTTTGGCCTTTGATATAAAGGAGCTTATTTAAAAAAATAAAAACAAAAACAGGAGATGAAACATCTTAAGCAATGCATAGGACAAAAATGGCATAAAAGTGAATAGGTCCAAATACAATCCAAAGTTCAAGTTTGGATCTACAAATCTAAGTGGTGGTATTTAGAGTGGTTAGACAAGCTTACTTCTCCACTCTTGCATCCCAGAAAACTGCCAGGAAGAATTTTTTTTAAAAAGTGACACAGTCCCTATTAAATAGAAATCAAACTGGATCATCGTCTGCTGGGCATTGGCAAAGCAGCATTTGGAAGATCAAACGCCTCATATTCACTTAGGTAGATTCCAACTGGGTAGGGGTTAGCTGAGGAGACGGAAGCTTCCACTTACAAGGTTATCTGGGCTAGGCTTAAGCCTGTGGATCGTGAGGGATTTGACAGGGGTCTCTGTGCTGTTAACTTAGTCACCTGTGCCCCGGACTCCTGTCTCACCTAGTTAATGAAACCTGCCAGGTAATGAATGACTGATGATGGGAAGCCCCTTGAGTGAGAAGACGTTATCACCTGCATTTGGACTTAGGTGAATCCTTTCTCCAGAAACCATTGCTCAGCTCAGTTGTTTTAACTATCAATCAATCTCCAATATTTCCCTCTTTTTTTAGGCAAGATTATTGAGAAGGATGTTGGGCTACATTTGCAAAATGTCATGGGTGAAACCTATTCGCCCTTTCTAGTCAGGATTCAGGTTGGGTGTTGGATCAAAACTGCAGTGGTTACTGTTATTGATGACCTTTGGCAGAACCAGGAAAGGGAGAATGACTTTCTCGGTCCTGCTTAATCTTTTGGTGATTTTTGATACCACCAACCATAGTATTCTTCTGAGCCAGTGACAATAATTAACTGAACTCTTAACTGTTAAGCAGTGGTTCTCCTTCCTGAATAGTGTTTTCCAGTTGATAGTATTGGAAGGGAAGCGGTCAAGACCTAGGGAGCTCCAGTTCAGGCTGCCACAGGTCATGTAACTTCTTTCCCTGCTGTTTTATGTCTTTATGAAATCACTGGGAGAAGTCATTGGTGGCACAAGGTAATCTGGTATTTCATCAATATGCTGCTGATACCAAATGTTAGCCACAAGCAACCAGAACAGCTCCAATAAATGATTAAAGAAGTCTTTAGAAAAGTCTATGGAGATTCTCAGTCATCCAAGCCACAGTTGTCCCAAAGGTGCTTTTTCAAGAGGCAACTGGACTTTCTGCTTTTTCTTTAAAGACATTTCACTTCTCATCCAAGAAATGTCTTCAGCTTTTTTAGTAAAGGACACCAATGTACAGTAATCTCTCCATCTGTCTGCCTTCCCTTTGGAAATGACACATATACTGCTAATGTCTTGACTTTATAAGCTTCCTCCCTCTCAGAGTCTAAGATGGAATGCCTTTTAACTCTTCCTATTAGTACCTCTTCCTCTTCAGCCAGTGGTTCCACTGCATCCAGTTATGGGCATCCTTCCTAAGCCTGGCAGAAGTTGTGGTGGAGGACTTGACCTGTGCCCAAAAGGTGATAGGGAGAAACAAACTTAGACTGAACCCCAGCAAGAGAAAATGGCTGTGAATTCATAAACCACCTGTTTGCAAAGCTAGTCTGAATATATAATATATTGAGAAGTATAGCTAAATGTCAACGTAGGTAGAATCAATTAGTAATACTTAAGTCTTATAAAAGCCAGCAAGATTTAATCTTCAGATCTCGACTAGCACGGCCAATGAAGTCTAAACAAAAAGCTTTGGATAACATCCTGATCCAATGAAAATTAAAGACTGTACAGATAGTTCTTGAGTTACAACAGCAATTGGGACTGGGATTGCTGTTGCTAAGCAATGCGGTCATAAATAACAATGTCATGTGACCATATCATTTAGTGCAGTTCCAGTTGCCATCATAACTCCAAGACAATGCAGGTCAATAAGCAGGAGCCCTAAGGGTGAGGAGGTACCAGTGGGGGTCATAGGCGGTGAAGGAGCTATTGGCAGGCATATATTACAGAGCTCAGGTGGGTGGGGTTGTGAGAGATCATACTCCATAGTGGGGCTATTCAGGAGAAAAAGCATTAGGAAAAACTTATAGAGCAACTTGTTACTTTCCTTGCCAGTTTCCCCATTGACTGACTGTGGGCAAGGAAGGTAGCAAATGGTGAGCACATGATTGTGGGGATGCTACAATGTCTGCAATTTCCCAGCTCAGTCATAAGTTCCCCCATTTCAGTGCTGTTGTAATTTGGAATAGTCACTGAACAAGTGATTGTAAATCAAGGACTACCTATAGTAGAAGATAGTACTCAAGCCAGGGGTGAAATGCTGTCCGGATCGGACCGGATCACCTGGTTTAGTAGCGATCTTGGACAGTAGATCGGCAATCTGGTAGTGATGGCGGAGAGAAGCCCCACCCGCCTGGGTGTCATTACTTCCTGGTTTTAACCCGGAAGTAATGTGTTTTTTACTTTCTGTGCATGCGCTTCCAAACCGGTAAGGAAGGTAAGTAGATTTCACCCCTGACTCAAGCTCACAAATACTTAATGCTTTGTTATGATTTCATTTCCTCTTTGCAGTCTATTTTGATTCATAAGTGATAAAGAACACACCTTTAATTTGGTTGAGCATTCATGCCCAAACTGCTCCTATTTCCTGGATTCCCTGCTGTTTGAGACCCAACCCTAATTTTATGTTAAATCACTGCACATGCTGCAAAACAATGAGACGAATGACTCCAGTAATAGGCTAAAATAAATCCCCAAATTTATCCCCTAGCACAGCTTTTGGAGGAATTTGTTTTTATTGGCTTGAAGATTGAAGACTTTTGGTGAAACAATAATCTTTATAGGAGGTTTCAGTCATGCCTGGCTGCTGGTCATCATACTTTCACCTGCTAACTTCCATCTTTTTTGGTACATACTTGAGCTGAAGTATTAAGTGACACGAATGTTATAGGGACCAATTTCTTAGTCACTACATTCAAACCTAATTCTACGCTGCTGCTAAGTCACAATGCTAAGTATACTTTACAAGTAACCTCCATCCTTCAGCATGTGTAACAAGTAAAACTGATTCCCTAGTGACTGAAGTAACAGTTGCTTCTTTCAACCCATGACAGCTGCAAGCTCCATTTTCCAACACCATCCATTCTGAATTCCAGCTGGTGAAACTCTGTACTATATTTAGTGGGCAAGATTAAATTACAGAAGCTTCAAGCAGGGCAACGTACATTGATCTGCCTTTTTCAGGCAGACCTAGGTACCAACAAGAGGGGTTTCTTTTGTGCTTCGGTAGCCCAGCCTTCCAGAAAATGGATTCCCAGAGAGAACTTACTGAAGAACTCCGACTTTATCAATCCACTCTTCTTCAAGATGGCCTTAGGGAGCTTTTGGAAGAGAAAAAGTTTATTGACTGTTCTCTAAAAGCAGGGGATAAAAGTTTGCCGTGTCACAGACTGATCTTGTCAGCTTGTAGTCCTTATTTCCGTGAGTACTTCTTATCTGAGCAAAGTGAAGATAAAAAGAAAGAAGTAGTGTTGGATAACGTTGACCCAGCTATCCTTGATATGATTGTTAAGTACCTTTATTCTGCAACTATCGACCTTAACGATTCTAACGTACAAGATATTTTTGCTCTGGCCAGCCGCTTTCAAATTCCATCCATTTTTACCGTCTGTGTTTCTTATCTTCAGAAGAGGCTGGCCGTTGGCAATTGTTTGGCCATACTTCGGTTAGGTCTCCTCCTTGACTGCCCAAGGCTTGCATTGTCTGCCCGTGATTTTGTGTCTGACCACTTTGTGAAAATTTGCAAAGAAGAGGACTTCATGCAACTCGCTCCTCATGAACTCATTTCGGTGATTTCGCCAGATAACCTGAATGTTGAAAAGGAGGAAATCGTTTTTGAAGCCATCATGAAATGGGTCAAGTCAGATAAAGAGAACCGGGTGAAGAGTCTCGGAGAAGTCTTTGACTGTATCCGTTTTCGGCTGATGGAGGAGAAGTATTTCAAGGACCACGTTGAGAAGGAAGACATCATTAAAAGCAACCCAGACCTTTCGAAAAAAATGAAAGTTATTAAAGATGCCTTTGGCGGGAAATTGCCCGAACCTACAAAAACCGCAGGAAAGTCAGCCAAAGGAGAGGTTAACGGGGATGTAGGGGATGAAAATTTACTCCCCGGCTACCTAAATGATGTTCCGAGGCATGGGATGTTTGTTAAAGATCTCATTCTTTTGATCAATGACACTGCGTCGGTAGCTTATGATCCTACAGAAAACGAGTGTTATTTAGCAGCACTCTCGGAACAGATTCCCAGAAATCATTCCAGCTTAGTCACAAAGCAAAAGCAGGTCTATGTGGTTGGAGGATTGTATGTGGATGAAGAGAACAAGGAACGGCCTTTCCAGTCATACTTCTTTCAGGTATACCTTTATTTTTTAAACTCAGGATAAGAAAATGATA